CCCCCCCCCCCCCCCCCCCCCCCCCCCCTTCAACTGTTGCTCCTCCTCCTCCATAGTTGTGCTTGTGGGCCGAGTCGGATTACTCCTGATATGTTAATCTTCCTGGCTCTAACTCCAGGAACACCAAAGGATGCTTTGCCCTGAGCAACAGCTTACATTCACCTTCTGCCGCAAGGGAGTCGGCCATCTTAAGCAGGCAATGGGTAATAGCCTCAATTGGGCTGATCAATGCCCTCGGAGGGTTCTGTCAAAACAAGCCTCCTCAGATTTTTAAAGGATCAAGAATATTCCCAATGGGTTTAAAAGGTGCTACGGTAACATTAACTCCATTTTGGATAGAATAATCACAGCAGAGGTATTTCATAATTCAAAATATAGTTGTCTGGGGAGAAAATCTGTTGTTAAGGATCTCTCATTCTCCTCCAATATAAAGCAGTGTTTTAGCGTTTGAGCCCTCAAGCAGCAAATGAGGAGCAGATGGCCGTACTTTTGGAAGGTATCAGGCTCTCCAGACTGCAATCTAAATAAATACCCCGTCCCCGGAGGAAATGCGTCAGGTGTGTGGGGTCAGTAATGTATAAACATAGGCCAACCAGTTTAGAGATGAGTGAACTAATGCAGGACTCCGGGAGGGGTGGGGGAGATGCGCAAAGCCACACAGGTGCTGTTTAGGTGCACAAACACGCTAAATAAATCCACACCGTGGATCCAAATAGATCCAACGGTAACCCAGAAGTTTATATATGGGGCCAAAGATTAAAAGCAGGGGTAAAATAAAGCCAAGACCACGACAGGAAGCAAATCATTTGCTAACAAATATCCCATTCTGACATGACTCATTTTGACATTCCTGTAAACAAATCATGCTTTGAAAAGTTACACCAGTGAGGCAGAAATGTGACTTGTTAAAAGCTGTGTAGGCCTTAAAATTCTTTTTGTTTTGAGTGGGAACGAAAGAGAAAAAACAGAGATTTTATGTCATTCCAATAAATGTGTGTTTAGTTTAACTACACATTCCACTCTGCACAGAGAATAAAAGATTCCACATGTTCTTCTCTACAATTTACAAATAATAAATATTATTCTACAATTTGTATTGTAATAAGAAACCACATTTTAGGGCAGTCAATAAATGCATAATCGAGTGGTTCTACCTTTCATCACACTAAGAAAACATATAGCAATATAGCTACAAATAACTTATTTGATAACACGGCTATATGGTAGATCACATAAGTAAGTGTAAATGTATGGAGATTTCTACTTTGCTAGAGATATTGTGCATTTCAACCTATGAAAAAGATCAATAACCACAGAAACTTTTTTACTGACATCGGGCAGGAACATTTCTTCTCTATACATATTGTTCACAGATGTGTAGTTTTCAAAGCCCAGTCGTTGCTGCGTTTAAAGTCCAACAGCTGTTAATTACTAAAATCAAGTCAAAGACAGTACAAGTCAAACACTTGATATGTATACAACAAAAACCCGCGCTCAACAGTAAAGATTACATTAGCCACCAGGACAGCGGGCCGTTTGAACCCATACACTCACGTAAGAGAAAAGAAAACAAGAAAGTATGTTTCCAATCTTGATATGATTGAGTCCCATATACAGTGGATTGAACCTTTTCCACTGGGTGTGGATAAATGAAGAAACACATACTGTTTAGGTTTGGGCAGGATTTTAAGGAAGCCCTCAATCAGTACCTCTATAAACACACCATTCCAGTTGAGGTGTCATTAGAATGGCTGAAAATAAGTCACAAATCCTGCGAGTCTGCTCGTCTTGCACAATATGCGGTTTGATGATTGGACAAGTAGCCTTTTGCCAAATGTCATATCAGTAAGTGGAAAGCTACTTTTTAAAGAACCCAAGTCTAAACAGGCATTTATGAAAAAAGGTCCAGAGACAATGATTGCTCTTTCTGAGCATTTCATGTTGGATTTATTTTTTTTTTGCTTGAAAAAGTGGCAACACGGTAAATCCATCCAGCCCATAAAACAAATATACATTGCAATTTGCAACTGTGACCAGACCAGCTGACGTCTCAGGGGCAGAGGCCACTGGCACTTCAAAAGAGGCACGTGTGATTCAGAAAGAATTGTACTTTAACTTCTAAACAAGTTGCTATTGTATGGAATTTGTTATTATAACTGATATGCATTGCAGTTTGTCAACGAGCATTCGCTGTTTTTACTTCTTTCTCAGATAGCAGACAGCTTGATAAACTGAACAGTGTTCAGAATGAGTCCTTTGAGCGCAGATAAATGCCGCCCTCATCTGTTGGTGGCACATAACTACATTCCACATTGAAATTACACGCTCTCATTACCAGAGTTTAAGGTGCAAATAAGAAGTTTAATTATTCAATGATTTCTTTAGGCGAAGCCTTTCTTTTGCGAATTTACAGATGCTGCTCCGTCCACATTATTAGGATTTCTTCTGTCTACCATAAAAGCCCTTGATGTCAACAGGGCCAAAGGGTTGGCGTAGTACTCTTTGTGATCTGCAGGGTGCTTTCAGCTGCGTGGCCATCTTTGGGTTGACCGAACTGGCTGCAGATTTGCGCCTGAGCACCCACGGGCTGGGAGAGCTCTCTTTATTGAAGTCTCCTGAGCACAGAGTAGTCCTGCTGTACCTGTGAGGCAGTCCACCATAGGGCTGGTGATTGAGGCTGTTGAACATGTCATGGAAAAGCCCGTGTGAGGAGTTTTCCAATCGGACTTGAGGCCAAATTGTTCCTGGGGCTTTCATGGAAACCCTAACAGTTGAGGGACGATCCACTTGGACCATTTCCTCTGAGATAGGGAATAGATTTTCTTCAGAGAATGTGTCTTCCATAGGCTGATCCACGGTTTTCTCTTCTGATTGTTCACGCTTGGTGATATTATGGATTGACTGGCACCCCAAAGGCACCACACACAAGCCTTTCCCATCTAAACTCTCCTCTTTGGCTTTCATGACGTTGTAAGCCGAACGAACTGCCTCCAGACTTCCAAACTTCACCACCGCACACATATGCTGGCCCAGCTCTTTGTGGCGTTTGGTGTAGCATTGTAGGTCTTTGGGAAGTTCCTCCCCAGGCTTCAGGATGCTGACTGACGTAAAACTGCTGGAAGTGCCCAAGTCCTGGAGGACCCTGAACAAGAGGGAAGGGCACTCTGGGTCTTGTGTTGCCATGTCTTTTCTGCTCTGCTCCTCGGAAGGATCCCAGACCAGAAGAAGCCTGGTCGTCGGGGAGCACAGCAGCCAATTGGGGAGTGGCTCTTTGCGCCTCACTTTGGTGCACTCGTCATTCACCTCCAGAAGGTCTGAACACTCTGCTGCTACCAGAGTCATGTACCAGTTTGTGGTCAGGGCCTTTATCTGTGGCAGATACGGGTACACTCAGGTTTTGTTCACACTTCACTGGATCGTTTTTGTTCAAACAGCCGCAATGTCAACACCACAGAGAGCACATGAACACTGAAACAATATTTACCTTTTTCAAACAGGTAAGAAGCTTCAGGCTAACGTAACCGTTCTTGTTCTTCTGCACGTGTTTGAGCAAAAATCCATCACTTGCGAGGTAACTGTCGGAGAACATTTCCTCCAGGACGGCTTTAACCTTCAAACAGAGGAGCTCGCCTTCATCGTCCCTTTCATCTTTGGTGGATTGTACACCATTCCTATGACATATTTCCCAACAACATGGCAACATTTGAAAACCAATTGTGTTGACTTCTCAAAAAATCTATTAAATGATTTTTCCTTACCCATTAAGATTGCTGATGGTATCTCCAAAGGCTAGTGATAACATGTCGCAAGGTTGTGTTGCTGTTTCCGAGTTATTCCAAGCTGAACCGAAAGACTAGTTGTCTGAAAAAGGTTAGTGCTATTGGAAAGGAGTGGAACAGTGCAGATACAGCCACAGAAATGTCAGTTGCTTTTGTGGAATCCAAAACAACATTTTGTAAAATGCCACAATCAAAATTCCACCTAACACCTAACACTTCCACCAACAACAATTTCCTCCTATGCATCACAGTTTCATGAAGACATACAATTACAGAATACTATGAGCTCTAAAACTAAGCTCCCCCTCTGCAGAGCACAGATAAGAGTAATGTGTCAACACAAAAGAGCACCATCATTACGCCTATGAATTTCTGTAGTCCAGTTTACAGCTGAGAGCACAATCAAATCCAAAGAAGTATGATACAGCTACCCTCCCACATACAATACTGTGGATAGAGCAGCATTAACTCAGACAGCAATAAAAAAATCTAGCTTTAAATCTTTGTTGTTTTTCCTCTGATCGGAGACAATTCATCTTGATACACTGAATTGCTTCTGCACGCTGGAAATGTCAAAATACATAGCTAAAATACATTATTATTTTGGTCCAGTGTATTAAAAAAAATCCTATCTCATCCTACTATAAGGTGACATATACAGGAAATTGTTTAAATCTATGCGTGGCTGTTTAGATTAAGAAAGAATGATTAGAATTTAATACAATGATAATTTTAGCCCGCTAAATGTTTAAGTTAATGACAGTTAGAAAGCACAGGGCTGATTCGACCAGCGACAGAATCAGGGTACGGTACGTTTTTGGTTTAGTTTCTATTAAAAAGCAACGCATTGTAATATTTCTTCTGATGTGGAAGTTTACTGTTTGACCCACAACTTGTGATTCAAACAAGCCTGCTTTGATTGGAACACGGTTCTATTGGGAGTTCTGATCATATTTAAATGACAGCACCGTCTCCATGGCAACATACAGAACTGTGAGAAGAAAAAAAACATCTCAGTGACTCATTCTTTATGATCCCTCCAAGGCTAGCAGGGAATTGAGCTTTCAGACACTTATGAATCAACACTCTTTTTCATCATCACAGAAACTGAGATGAATTGCATTCCAGATTCTTAGCAGAATAATAATAGCACATTTTTGCTCTATATTGCAGAAAATGTTAAAGGGTGACAGATCAGTTGCAGCCTGCTGATGGTGTTATGGTCATTTGATTTCCAAACTGTTTGATTCTGATTCCATGGGAAGATGCAGCATTATCTTTTTCAATTGGATACAACCCACTTACAACTAGAAGCTGAAGTTAAAAGAAAATGAACAGCTGTGACACAGGCATTGCTCTCACATTTGCAGCCTGTATTTTTAAGATCAATGAAATGCATTGTGGGATTGTTAGGTTATGGGTAAACATAAAACAGCTATTTTGAATAGTGGAAATAATTAGTTATGACAACAGCCACTATGCTGTTAGCACAGAAAAGCCTCCATCTGAGGGATGATGATGACTTAGGGATGATTTTGTCTAGAGGACATCTATATTTTAAATTAACTGGATCCGTCTGTACACAAAAAGAAGAAGGTCAAAAACCAGTTTTAGATACAAAAACTACCACAGAGCAACAGTTATGGCGGCCTTATGTCTCCATGGTGACAGATGCAAACAAGTCAAACATCTTAATTAAAGTCTGACACATTCTGATCAGTCCACGGAAAGCTGACATCTTTTAGCTTTTTTGTCATTCAGGAGAACCGTATCCTTATCACACTGAAAAAAACAGAGACAGAAACACAAGTGAGGTCAGCCAAACTTGTTTGTTTTTTTTTCAATCTTTTTTTTAAAGCAATGATAAACGGAGCATCGACCAACACTGTAAGCCATCACTGCCAGTGAGATGTGGTTAAATGCTGTGATTGAAAACATAAAATTGAGTTTGAATTAAAATCTTTTGGTGAAATCATGCCACATTTTCCCTGGAAGTGGACAATTTATTTGCTATCACAAAAAATGGATGGGGTTGGATTGTCTCAGAATACACTATTACGCGCCTGCCAAAAACACATAAAAACACACGGACTTTTAAGATCAGTAAAGATCAGCTCCTGGAAATGGCAAAGAGAAACAGTTGTGGGCAAAAAACATCAGAAACATTTATTTATAAAGATAGGAGTAGGAGATGAAGCAGTTTTCCGGCATCCTCAAATGCAAAAGGATAAACCTGTAAGATTAATTATGAAAACCTTTAATGAGCAAGGCTTGAAACACACACAGATAGCGAAAGGAAAAAAAAAAGGAAAAAAGTGCCACAAGCCAGTCTTTATACAAAAAACCCAATTATTTAATTTTATTAACACCAATGTTTTTCTTTTTCATCAACAGGTTCTTTTTAAATTCCAGTTCTTTATCAACAGATAGAAAACAGACTGTGTACAACAGATTGAACCCCTACAGCACTAAGCATTCACAAGGTAAAAATGAACATTTTAGTTTTTTTGCCAGCGTTTTGAAGTCCCCCCCCCGCTCCGTCCGTCCCTTCATCACACTGTCACAACGCTTAGGCCTCTCGGATCAGACGCTCCCCTCCTGCGGTTCTTGGAGGAGAAGGTGTGTGCTTGCTGAGCGAGTAGTTCATTTTGATGGGTGGGGGTGGGGGGTTTTGTGCTGTTTTTCCTCATTCAGACAGACAACCAGCTGTTGAAGTTACTATGGTAGTACAGTAGATACAACGGTGTTTCCATTAATACACACTCTAGGACAGCAGGCTTTCTGCAGTGTCTCTAGGTAGATCAGCAGATTTCATCCTTTTTAACAATATATTTTGAAGCTGTGTATATATCTATATGTAATCATACATATATATAATCAGTCATAATTATATATATATTTATAGTTCTATTTCTGTATAAAATAATATCAGGATTCAGTCCAAGGGGCTGAGTCTCTGTCCCTCTGGCAGGAATGGTTGATTCTGTACAGGTACCGGCGCTGATGGCTCTTCTCTTCAGCCCATTTGAACAATTTCCACGCCTATCCAGTCCGCGTCGTCGTTCCACGCCAGAAAACCAATTAGGCTAATGGCAAGCAAGGAGATGGGTGGGACCGAAAGAGCATCTTTATTCAGAGATGGGGAGTTTATTTACTGTTGCCTACCCTTTGGGTATACCAGTCTGTTTTCTTCAAGATAAGCTCTCCGTTGTGGAGTATGAAGGCCTCAATGCCATAGGCTTCTGATGGAAAACACAAGAAACCAAACAAATACACCAAAAAAAAAACAAAAAAAACAAAAACATGAAATAATGTGCTTTTCATTTCTAAGCAACTCTGATTTTTATTCAGATTCTTGTTAGGTAATTCGCGTGTTTTAGCTAGCTACCCCTCTAACTGAGCACGTCTGTGCTCTGAAATAAATTTTCTGAAAGGTGATTTCCTTTCAAAAGTCGGTAACGGCAGGTGAAAAGGCAATTAGAGTTACTGAACTGAATAAGACCAGAGACCACGTTTATGACACATAAAATAAAAAATGAAAAAAATGAAAAAAAGATGTTATGTGACAAAGGAAATTTGACAGCAGCTCACGGAGCAGTGGTCCTCCTGTATTAGTATCTAGGAACATGTTGAAAACACATGTCCTCTGTGCTAAAAGTACCCTACAGATGATTATGAAAAGAACGCGTGCCGGAAGCTCAGCATTTTAAGACAAAAGAAATGTCTGATATTAAAATGATTATTCAAATAAACATAAAAAGTACACTAAAATAATAACATTTGACATAATGAATCATAATATTGACAATAAAATTAACAAAAAAAGAAGACAGAATCCTCTCTTAGTGCTACCAGTAGCCTTTGACAATCAGGAAGGTTTGGCTTCGACGGCGCAGACAGGCGGGCTGCCCGTCTGCGCTGTCGGGTCTGTACAAGAGTTGTCACGTTTGTCATAGTCTTTTGTTTCTGGTATCATCTTTAAAGCAAAATCTCAGGTGGTTGGTTGTCTCTGTGATTGGTTAAAACCCTTAAATGGGTTCGCAAGCTCGTCCCCTTTCCTCCCCCCCTCCGGTAGCTGCGAGGGGGTCAGGTTTTTAGGGGGTCAAGTGAGTGGATGGTGGCTGACATGGACACTTGGCACACTCCTGAGAGGTCTGACCGATGATCCTGCTCGCTGGGAGTGGTTACGTTGCATAGTGGTCAAAGCTCCCCAGGTACTCCAGAGCGGCCCTGTAGCACAGCTGGTACTGGTCCTACAGACGAGAGCGGGGCAGTGAGAAAAGACTTCATTCCCTCTAATTCCCCCTCTGCCTTTTCTAATACTCACTGCTATGCCCAATCATACTGAAGCATTAAATTACCAGGAGCGTTTATCCAGTGACTCTACTTCATAACTTAGTAGCTTAAGTACTTAGAGGAGCCCCTTGAAAGTTATGCCAGTTTTTAATTGGATGCTAACAAACTCCGTAAATTCAGACAAAAATCTGGAAACGATGCAAAAAGCCCTAGATGAATTTGCTGAGGGATTTCTGATGAACTTCTCAAACTGCTATTAAAAAGCAATTTGTTGTAGGTGTTTGTTTCTGTGCATTTTTTAAGGTAAAAAATTAGCATAAATCCCTAGCGCATGTGATACCGAATCTCTAAATGCTTCCTCTCTGGATGACGGCTGAAATCTTCTCACCTCTGTTTGCACCATGGCCGGCCGCTGGGTGCGGAGCGTCTTCACGGTCTGGAAGAGGTCGACCACACCTTCGTACCTCATCCTCTCCAGCACGATGCTGAGGGTGATGAAGACTCCGGTCCTGCCCACCCCGGCGCTGTAACACACACACGGGCACGCACACCGTCATTACCGTGTCTGCCGCCAATCTGCTCCGATGACTGATGATCTGGAGCTGCTCTGAGGAGGGGAAGCGCCTGGAAAGTCGACTTTGGTTCATTTTGATGTTATTACTTTTTGTTTGCCGAGTTTGTGAGGCGAGATACTACAGCTAAAATAATAACACTTTGCAATAAAGGGAAAACGTCTAATGTGCCGGGGAGCACATTAATATAGATGAAGAATCTTAAAGAATTTTCAGTAGAAAAACTAGACCATAAATAATAATGGGTGCACAAGAGCTCAGTCTGGAAGATTCTGTATTAGGAACTATTAGGTCATGGTTAACTCCATAAAAAAAAAACGAGGAGCTTCTTCAGTTTGAAACATCTGCTCCCTCATGATTGCTGAACATGGGCTATTTTTTGGTATGTTCTCTTCATCGTGTTCATTTCCCCCACGCTGTCAAAAGGATACTGGCCTGTTTCTCTGCTCATCACTGCTGCCATTCAGTGCTCTCATTTTAATGCTTTTTCTGAGCCAAAAAAAAAAATCCATCTCAGAGTCCCTATTCAGTACATTTTGTTGTAAATTCTACATGTTCAGTCTGTTGCTCTTCCATTCCCATTCCTCCCAATCTGTTTATTTGCACCATTTCCACTATCAGCATCTTTTTTGTCCACATGCAGGACAGTCATTGTTTATCATCTGAGCCAAAAATTCCTTATCCTACATGTCTGCATGGTGCCATGGCTTTTTTTTGCTCCAAATTAAGTGGAGGTGATTGGCATCTTCCTTAAAACATTGGACTGGTTCCTCTAAAATCATCACTACTAAACAATTTTTCTTAATTTGGGGATTTAGGGCTCTTTTACTGTCACATCGTGCTTTCTTTGAGACCAGCATGATGCAAATGTATATTTTTCAAATGTGTTTCTTCCTTTACCTGCAGTGAACAGTGATTGGTCCGTCTTGCCCAAACTGCTCCTTAGTTTTGTGCACTTGTCCAATGAAATCAATGAAGCCTTCGCCAGTTTTTGGCACTCCTTGCTCAGGCCAGTCGGTGAACTGGAACTGGCGGATTGTTCTGGACTGTCCATCCTGGGGAGGGGGGTGAGCAGCAGGAAAAAGATTTTCAGGACATTTTCAGTTGTTATTCAACACAAGCTATGACAACAACCAGCTTCTGGTCTTTAAGTGAAAAATGAGCATGTTAAATGGGGTGCAATGTGAATAAAGCTGACACCTGGGATGGGACAGAAAACCAGTAGCACCGCAGCAAAAATACTGGAAAACAATCCACTGATTGAGCAGAACTCTGGTGTAATGCACACATGTATAAATCAAATCCTTGGGTACATTTCTAAATATATAAGGACATGCTTAATCATTCGTTTAGCCTTTCATCGTGTGGTCTAATCAGAGGTAGGCTGCCCCGTGTGCGCACAGAAGCCTTTAACCGCATTTACAAAAAGAATCAGTCCAAAAGATTGCCGAGAATAATGTACACAGAGAGACACTACACATACAAAAGAAAGAGTGGATGTGGGATTAGAGTGTTCCTGTGGTGTGAGCCTTCAGATGACAGGGAAGTGTATTTTTAGCTCATTGAAACTACTGCATCACAGGGAGTTCCAGTACAGGCCCTCGGGGGCTGAAGGCTACGCTTTTCATGTATTTTCACAGCAATCTTGAAACAGACATCCACAGGCGTACAAACACACACACACACGAGCCATAGAGCGAACGCACTGTTTCTAAATCTGGGTAAACATGTTTGATGGCGCATTCACCGGGTGTCAGCCTGTCAGGGAAAATAACACGGGCCGCGTGCTGATCACCTCCACCTTGAAATCACAGCCCTAATCATTCTTAAGAGTTGAGGCGACTGTCAGCATTTGTATGAAAACCGAAAATAAAGATGGATGTGGTTTCTTTGTATTTGAGCTCATTTCAAGTGAACCGACGTACCCTGGCGTCTGTGACTTTGAACTCTCTGAGGATGTACTGAGGCATGTTGTACTCAGCCATTGGATCCACCACAAAGTACTGGTACCTGGCTGAACGCTCCGCTGGCCAGTACTGATGGCACTTCTCCTGCAAGCGAAAGGAAAAGCAGACGTGTTCAGCCGAATCTATTTCCAAACACATTCAGAGGGGAGAGAAATGACTTTTGTTCGATGATTACCCAGTGTACAAGTGGATTGTTTTTAGCGCCGGTGACTGGATGTTGTAAAAAATTTGAGTTATGAGAGCGTCTCTGCTTACAAAAAGAGAGTCCCAACAGACTAATCTGTGGTTCTGAAATATTATGCTTCATCGTATGTGGCAAAATATTTACACAGTTTGCAGTGGTTACACGGAGTGTTCTTGAGTACAGCGATGATGTGCATGAGAGTCTTTCCCCCCATCAGCTCTGCTAATGATTGACACGGTCGTAAAGACGTACATTAAAGCAGAGTGATCAGTACCACCGAAAACTGCTCAGAGTAGGATGTTATGGAACCATAATTACCTCTGAATTAAAAAAAATAAAATAAAACGAGCAGTTTTAAGTTAAAGGTGGTCTGGAAATGGTCTTAAAGTTAGATGCTATATCCGTTACTGAAGTATGAGGCCGAAACCGATAGTTTTTTGGTTGGCATAAAGATTGAAAACAGGAAGGAAGCAACTAGATGGATTTTAAATGGCAGAAAGGGTTCCAGATGGAACAATTCACTGGAAGAGAATCCAATTGTTTACCATCTTATTAAATGCATTCATTGTTTATGTATACAAAATCGAACACTGTGTCCCCTGGAGATATAGTTTTGAAAATGTATAAATGTCTAAATTGCCCCAAAATATAAATGAGAATTATTCAGAATTTCGAACAATTTAAAGGGGAAAAAATACACACTCCTATATCCCATTTTAAATAGGGATGCAGTTCATTCCCACAGCGGGGGAATTATCAGTATGTCTGGGATGCAGCCTGTTTTTGACAAACATGACACAGCAGCAGCCAACTTTGAACCCAGGCCCGTTCCGGCCATGGCGATAAGGAGCTAGACCTTCAACGGTGGTTATTGTTCAGGGTTTGGAATGAATTAACATTTGAACAGCGTGGTGCAGCAGCTTAGCTGAACCAAGCCAGCAGAAAAAAGATTATTATCATCCCCCTGCAACGGTCCAATGACCTTACAGGTGCCCTATCCGTTGTGTTGGGTCCTGTGTTTGTGTATTACCCGGCCCATCTCTCGTAGCTTGGTCAGCATGACAACAATGGTGGAGTTGTGCTCCCACAGCATCCTCCAGAAGTCCTCGGTGGTCTCAGCCAGGGGGCCCTGTGTGGCCAGGTACGCCTTCTGCTGTCTGCAAGGGAACATTCACACAGAGGGGTCAGAGATTTAATGTTGTAATAAGCTTCGTGGTGCTTTTACAACAGGAGTTTAAAAAAGGGCGTATTATTGTGTATTATTCCAAGAACGGTTGTAAAGCAAAGGAACAGAGGAGTAAGGAAGGATTTTTCCAATGTCAAAAATGCTAAATTGATAAGAAGCCCACTTTGAGATTAATGTCACGAAAAGAAAATAGCTATTTTAATTTTTTAGCGAGGAAGTGGTCTGTTTTGCTTGGCAACGTTGAATCAGCTTCACATCACAGTATTACGCCTGCGGTGACCTCATCAAATTAAGAACTGGGATCAAATTTAGCCGTATAGAGATGTTGGGGATGTTTGTCCAGATTAAAAGCAATATCACTGTATAAGAAACCCGAGCTTTGATGTGAATTGTGCCTATAGGGAACAAACAGAACGGTGTGGGTGGTGAGGATTCTGTCACATGGCGTAATGTTGCACTTCCTAATTAACATGTTTCTGTAGCTTTTCCTGTTAACTTGTGCAGGCGGGTTATCTGAGAATATTCCACTTTTCATGTTTTGCACATATTTTACTGTTATTGGTATGAAATATTTCATTTCAAGAATCTTTTTAAGTTTTTCAAGATGCAAGCTGCAGACCGATGCCTTCATTGACATTTTGCCTTTGTAAACTGTTTTTGTTGTAAAAAATTTAATTTTTTAAGCACGTCCCCTAGACCAGCCTCTGATCCAATAAAGTCATGTGGCATATTGATGGAAAGTGGAGTTGAAAATAGTCTTACTTCATAAATCTGATGGTATTAAAGTTCAGGATGTGTTTTTCAGTTTTTCTTTGGATTTCTCCCCTTTTTTCTCCATCCCCCTTCTCAGACTGTGATTTTTCCCCCCGCATTCAATTTCAGTTTTTTTTTATTTTTCAGAAAAATGTTTTCTTTTTTGTAAAGACATTCAGCTGTGAATTATTAAAGGATAAAAAAAGATATAATTCAGTAGATGAACCAATGATTGTGGCTTAAAATAGAAGCTACTGCAACCTACTTTAAGTAAATAATAACAAGCCTTAAACTCTAAAATCTATCTGGCTCAAAAAGCCTTCAGGGTATAAGAGGCTGTGTTGTTTTATACTCTTTTTCATAAACAAAATATGACATTCTCTGTACATTTAATGTGAAAAATAATGAATATGTAGCAGCTACAGTAATCATTAGGCAACTGGAGCCAATATGAATCTTCCCTGCCTCCCTCCGTTATGTAACACAATACAGAAGAGGAGAGGATGAGCACTTGATATGCTCACAAAACTAGAGATGAGCTCATCCACTGGTGTGCCAGGGCTGTGCTGGTGTCCTACGTGACTTTGGTCGGGCTGAGCAGTTCTTTTGTCGGACAGCAGGTGGTAGCAGCGCGCCGTCCCGCAGAGGCAGGGCAGCACGCAAACGCATGCATAAACGCACAGAGACACGCGCTCACATGTTTGCTGCACATGTTAACTTGCATCCAGGTGTATGCATTTATACGGGCCAAGAGTTTGTTAGTATATATTCGGAATTGCTGCTGCTCCGGCTCACACAGCCGGTTACACACTGAGCCCATGGCTGAACGGCTAATGAAGGTGCTGCAGGCAAGACACTACTGTGGAACTGGGAGATTAGAATATGCTCAGGGCCCTGCTCGTACAAATACAGAAACAACAGATTGCTGGAGAGGAAAGCAGAGGAGAAGACATATGAGGAGGGGGGAAGCAAGAGAGTGGGGAATCAAATTAAGAGGATGAGAACAGGAAAAGAAAAAAAAAAAAAAGCCAGCAATAGAGCAGAGATCTACAAAGCACAGAGAGGATGTGGAGATGGGATGAAAAGAGAGAGCACAGCTCTTTCCAGCTGGTCACCAGAGTGCAACACCAAACTCGGCAATGAGGATAAGGGGAGACGAGTGGATGGAAATGCGGGAAAGGGGGAAGTTAACGGCAGAGGGGGAAAGAAAGGGATGCTGGGGAACAATACTGGAGATGAATCCGAAATTTCAAATTGATAGGGCAGAGTCCTCCATCCTAATAAAAATGTCTCTCAGCCGCAATGAGAACAATTCAAGCCATGCCACACAATACTGACTTCTCGGCACGTACCGTCCCAATGAGCGAGCCGCCAAACAGCAAAAAAACGCTCTGCCTCGTCTGCACGAGCTCTCCAGAGCTGGTGTTTCATTTCACCCTCATCACAATGTTAAAACTCCAGCCTGCACCCGAGCATATCCAGGGCTCGTGCCCCCGATAGCACGGTTGGAATCAATGAATCCCCTCTCATTAGCTTAGCATATTATTGGCTTTTTCTTGAAGGCGCAAGGGTGAAGGGCACTCGAGGCCCCTGTTTAGCTTTTATTTATGCCCGCGTTTTAAATGCGGCTTAATTACACAGCGCTGCCGGTGCGCACAACAGGTCCCCACCCGGATGTCTGCCACTGCCATGATGTTTGGATGGAAAATTAGGATGGCGAGGGAGAGAAGATGGGAGGAGAAAGGGATGGGAGAGAGGAGCAAACGAGACAGGCTGAAGGGGGGGGGGAGGAGAGATGGAGGGGGGGAAAAAAAAAAAAAACGGAACAAGAAGCAAAAAGAGAGACGAGGAGCACGTTGGAGTGCAGGAAAAAGGCTGGAGTGGGGGCGGGGTTTAGAAAACACTCTTCATTACAATTCTCTCCTGCTGCAATTATGCTATTTACACGGCAACAATGGAGGGAGAGCCTCTGTGGAGCACCTACTCCACAACAACAGGATGGAGAAAGGGCGGATGGGAGCTGGGAGCGGCGTGTCGTCCCTGTCATGGACCAATACTGAGCAGAACCCCATATGGACTAAATGGCATTTCACGCTCACTAAATCCATCCCTCCACTTAAACCGCAGAAGAGTCAGCTCTGTCTGTCACTCCCCACACTTATAGAGATATAAAACAGAGAGCTGCCTTTTCATCTTCTTCACTCTAGGAAGCAATTTGGTCTCACAGAGCACACAGGGACATGCAGTTGCCTCAGTATAAAGGCAGCAGCGGCTCAGTGAACGAAAGCCACATTGACAGGGCCGGGAGTAATTCCTGCAACTGGATACTGTCCACCGCGGCCTCCTCCTCAGTCCCCTCCCATTTAGTTTTATCCAGTCCACTGTGAATACCTATAGCATTTCCCCTTTCTGGATTTGAAAGGAATCAGTGACTGTCGAATTACAGCACAGATTCTCCAATATTTGTTGAAGGATGTTTTTACATCCACAACAGATGATTTGAACTAGTTAACAGGTTAACGTATGGTATATAATAACGTTATCACAGTCCTGTTTTGTAATATGTGGGTTGCAAGTTTTTATTTTTTAATGACAGCCTCAGAAAATAATGAAATATTCATAATAACAAATCCTGTCTCCGAAGCAACAGCCTGATATATAGATTTTTTTTCTCATATAGGTTCACTAAAAATGTTTTAAGAAAAAAAAAAAAGCGCTAACAGCAGCACCAGAGGAACAATATTTTTCTGAAAGTGCTGCACTATAGCATACACTAGGCTTAGAATTGCAATCTGAGCATATGTTGTTTGCACAGGACTGTGTGCTTTGGCATTTGTCAATATACACTTGCCCACAGCCTGCTGCTGCACGGTTATACCCGCAAAGAATAGAACATATCACCCATTTTCCAGCTGTTTAATGCACTGCTAGTCTTTCAAAATCTTAACAAAATCAAAAAGTTCTTTACTGACCTGTAGCCATCAATGCAGCTGGCGTTGATGTAGTCAGAGCCCTCGACACCACGGATGGGCTGCAGGCAGACGCGGGTGGACTCAAAAGGCATGATGTTGACCAGCCGGTTCTTGAATTTGTTGCAGGGCAAGTTGGCGCTGATGAAGCGTGACGTGTGGGCTTTGGAGTTGGCCAGTCTCTGTTTATTAAGATGCGGAAAGAGGCAAGACAGAGAAAAAAGATGGAGAGAAATAAACACAAGTGGCCTGGAGTGAGCAACAACAGAGCCCGAAACGCTTCCCTGACAAGTTGAGTTGTTAGGGAAGTGTTGTCATGACGAATATAAAGTCCTCGGTGGAAAAGGGGGCATATTGTAGAACTCCACTGATGAGTTGAACTAAGTACAGGGAAATGTTTCCCGTTGCATCCTGGAGTTGCTTGGAGGACTGTGGGCTTCACAAGCTCAGCGCTGGCAGTGGGCAAAGCACAGATGGACAGCACAGGAGTGTGTATGGACGGCAATGGTATTGCAGGAGAATTCGTGTGTGTGCGTGCGTGTGTGTGTGTTGTCGCCAGACTGTACGGGTTACGGAGACTGCGGCCTGCACGCACCCGGCAATCATTCTCTCACTCCTCCATTCTTGGATGTTGGCAGGAGTGTAGATGCTATTATCACTTCAAACAGAATGGATCACGGTCGTAAGGGGGCTAATGGCGGAGCCGCGCCGGGAGGGAAGCGTAATAACGGCGCAGTCGATGGCTATTGACGGAAAGGGTGTGCGCACGTGTGACGGCGACCTTGAACTCGGGCTGTGCGCGTGTCGGCCATTTTGTAACCGTCAAAGTTTAGATCTGTTCGTGTGTGTTTGTTCTGGTCCGTGGGCCTGTCCATCGCGTGTGTCTGGTGCATCTGAACATACTCTGCAGCTGAAAACTGTTGCACATTTTGAGTCTGTTCCCATCAGGCTGGTGGGATCCTTCAGCAAAATTTAAACAGCGTTTGAGTTTGGTTCGGTCACCTTGAACTCCAGCTCCATCGCAGTGACCGTCTCGCCGGCCGGGGGCTGGGTGAGTTTCTGGATGTGGGCGTACAGGTTGCGTGCCGGCACCTCCGTGTTCCCGCAGGTGGCGGCCTCCAGCAGGGCCTCGTGGATAAAGATGTACTGGTCCTCGGTCTGCACCATGTAGTTCCTCTGGGCGCGCATGCACGTCACGTGGCCGTAGATGTCCACAGACTTCTCGTGCTTCATGCGCTCCAACATGGCATCGATCACAATGAAGCAGCCAGTCCTGCCCACGCCCGCACTGATGGCACAAGACAGAAGAGAAAGAAAAATTCAACTACTTTTTTTTGTTGTTGTAAATATTCATTACAACGTGGTTAACGAGCTGCTGGGATCAATAACTGAAAAACACATGGCAGCAGAAAACTCTTCATTAAATGTGAACTGAGCGGTAACTGTCTCAAAATGGAGAATTTCAAACATGGGTGTTCCTGCTTTTCACTGCAGAGATATGCAGCATTTGATGTACTGTATTGGAGGTCAAAATGTGTTGGAAAGTGTCACTTTTTTAACATCCAGATCAGAAAATCCCCAAAAGCCTCTGTGTTTACTGTGTAAGCTATTTGTCTGGAGAAGCTTACCCGAGTTATCAACTATGATTTCTGTTTTTTTTTTGTTTTTTTGGTTGACATCTGATTTTAGTGAGTTGGAATAGAAAGTCTTATGGTTACGGCTTAACAGCTATAGAGTGTAAAGAAGGAATGAAACAAAGCAAAAGCTCAGACAAACAAATGTAATTTATGGCCTGTTTCATAATGGATATGTCTTTGGGCACAAATAGGAAAGTCGACACCTGCACACAGCATTCTGACATTGTGTGAATATACTACCTTTGTGGATTTCACGTATTATCTCATTTTCCGATGAAGCAGTGTGTATGTGTGGGTGTGACAAGGATTCAAACTGATGGCAATGCTCTCTCAAAGTTCACACCTGCATATTGCTGTTAGTTGGTGCCCTGCAGAGAAATACACCACCACACACTTTGACCGGATCAAACGATGAGCCTGAGAGGGATTACTCTGGTATGAGGCTATAGTAATACGCTGCTTAGGATGCCTTTAAGCCTTCATTCATTCTTTGTATTTGGGTAATGCCCGCTGACTTGATTCTTGTGACACAGACGGATTCAGAAGAAGTCAATTAACTTGAAAATGTCTCCGAGACACAATAACAAGAGCACCCACTATTCTGTGATGCAAGGTGCTGAGGATAAACACAATTGACTCAAACATGTCACTGAAGCAAACGAATGGGAAAATGAGAAAAGTAGCAAGATTAACAGGACGTTGGAATCTCTTTTGCAAACAATGTTGCAGTGACACACTCCTACTAATCCAATGTCCTCAATAAATTAAATTTGTTATTATGTGACACTATTACATTTTACTCATGTTAGCTTTCACTGCCACATCAGCTAAAGGTATATCATGAAATTATTTCTAAACTCAACTGGTCAAAGAATTAAAGTGTGCAGTTTGTGAGCATGCAGAGCTTCTTCCCTCGTGCACCCACCTGCAGTGGACCACCATGGGCCCTGCGTCTGGAGGGTTGCAGGCCTTTACCCGCCGCAGGAAGGCCAGGATGGGAGTGGGATACTCAGGCACCCCGTGGTCGGGCCAGGCCATAAATTGGAATTGCCTCACCTCTCGCTTCTCACTGGAGCCATTCTGCGGGCGAAAGCATGCATGTCAGTTAGGAGGAAAAAAGTGTCAGACTGAGCTTAGTTCGATACTCTCACACAGGGAGTTTTAATTGGCTGCTTTTGACACAGCTCTTTTCTGCTGGGTGGATGTTGTTTCAGCCAGAAAAAGGTAATACTGCTTTGATAAGAAAGGAGATGAAATTGTGCAGTTGAAATTTGAACAGCACAAGTGCAACCCCCTCATCTCTATTCCGCTCTCCTTCACACTCCACAATGCTGTTTTATAGTACGCCATTAACTTTGTGTCTGTCTCTTGCACTCTACTCTGCTTCGCTCTCTGCAGCTTTCTGTGGGGATCTTTTGAGCTAAAGCTGCATGCCTCTGATGTGTGATTAGTGTACGCTGTTCTGTTGGCTTTCTTTTTCTTTTTTTCCCCTTTTTTTGCTGCAATTTTGTTGATATGATTTTTGGATTGAAATGGCACAATATAAAAAAAAAAACTCAATTAATCACAGCAACAAAAAAAAAGCAATTTTAAGCACCAATTTTCAGTTAAATCCTAACTGAATTAGCAGAACATAGCATAGTATGATACTTTCAGAACTGTGATCATTTAGCAAGCGTTTCCGTTGATAATCAAACTCTGGAACTGCACTTGGATAGTTTGAAATGGTTTCCTGTCACCATTCCTAATTCAATACCAAGAAACAGCTCCAGTGCATTTAATTAAGGATTATAATAACGTTAGCAATAATGAGTGAGTGATGGTAATTGAAATGGAGGAAAAGAAATAAAGGACAAACCATCATTGGAACTAAGCATGTGAATCAAAGCGGAAAAAAATGGAATCTTTCAGTGCCTCATAGAGAACAAGATCAATCTCGGAAGTTAAAAAACAATTACAAACTGTTGATAAGTGATTCCAGCAGTAATTGACTTTATCTGTCCCCAAAGAAATGAGAAATGATGGTTTAGAGTGTGACCCACTACCGATGCTCAAAACATGCCATTCATGAGTTTTTCTCTCTTTGTTTGGGGAATGAAAAAGGCAGACCTTTACCTTGTAGAGGGCGAAAGTCCGAACGCTGTACGTGGCCAGCTCCACAGTGTCCAACATGGTGACCTGGATCATCCCGTAGGTCTCTGTTCCTCGTGACGGCCAATACTGGTCACACTTCACCTGGCAGAGCGAGAGAGAGGGCACACTGTCAGGCCTGGACCGCCGCGGACATCCAATATCAGGCTAGCGAGAGGCTTGTAGGATCACACTGATTAACAAGGAGGGAACATTAGAGAGGTCAGATCAAAGGCTTTGTCCACTGTCTAATTAAAAACCGAAGACTCAGAGTGAGCTCTTCTAACGCTGCAAAATGCACACGGGTGAATCAGGCTCGCACATGTGCAGTCGGGCATGTCTGCATTTGTAGTGCGCTTCAAAAAGATCATTAAAAAAAAAAAAACCCACTTTGTCTTTTATCAGACTGTGACTGTTTTCAATTAGTTAATTGTCTGGTGGTTTGCAGCCTTTTGTCGCGCGCGCTTTTGGCACATTTGTGATGACTGGCCTCTTCTTTGTGGAGGGAAATGTGTCTAATGCCCGCTCTCGCCTGCTGTGTACGGACAGCAGGTTGGGCCACTTGGCTCCATATGTGCACAGAGCAGCCTTCATGGTGGGTACGGTGATGCTTTTCTCTTTGCAGATCTGAAAATGTGAGTGCGACTTTTGTTTTCTACACTTTTTCCATTCACAGGGTCACATTATTATCTAAACATTTGGCATTGCTGGTGCAAATGGTCTTGCTTGTGGTCTCAGCTGGAGGCTAAGACGGTTTATTTTTTACTCTGCTGGTCACAGGCCATTAAAAAGAAACGGGACCAAATTCCAGTGATTTGAAGACTAGAAACACGAGTCGAAAATAACCCCTACAAACGCTTGTACAAACCAGTCCTTTCAAAGATGTACCAAAGCGCTAATTTTTCGATACAGACGCTGGGAAAAAAAAAAGACCTTTTAATGTCACAGCCACTGGGACGAAGAACTACTGCCATAGATTTGGACGAACTTGTGAGGAAGAGACGTGCCATGGGTAAGCTAATCGTATTGATACAGCAGCACTGTGGTGACATTTGGAAGCACTTTGCCTGTCTCAGTGAGCTGGTGTGAACTGACAAACAAAATGTGCTAAAATTCACCCCCCCTCACATTTCACCTCCTCGGGAGACGGCTCCCATTCAGAGGGAGAAGCAAACCCTGCAGGAGAAAAACGCGATTGATTGAAGGGGAACTGCTTGAAGCGCAAACATATGGATTAGCAGTCAGTGCAGTAATGAATATCTCTGCGTTGTCTGAGGTTAGGTGGCATATTCTCCCTCACACCGACACACAAACAGCCTCAGCGGTGCGCGCACACACACAGGCCACAGGTTTCATCTGCTTCTTGCTTTGAACTCCGCCTCTCACATGTTGTTCCCTGGCCTTTTGCGGCGGGCATAGACCTCTAATCTAAACACACAGAGAGGCATAAAGAACTGGTTTCATTTCAAGACCTGACCTTTGTGGGTAATAGTGCGATGTGAGGACAGTTGCACGAGGAAGCTGGAATTTCCCTGCTGTCAGATCTCATCGTATTTGTCCAGCTTTTATTTGACATGCGACACTCATTTATTTGGGTGGTGGAAGGTTGACTCACTCACTGTTTGTGTCTAATCACATTTTCCAGACAAAATAAACTGATATTTAATTATGTGCATCGGGCGGACAAAATGGTTTCCTTAAATTTAGTAGAGAGCACCTGGCTTGTCAGTGTCACTTACAAAAAAGGGGCATCTTACAAAAATTTGACCAGTGTGGATATAAGTATATATCAACTATTACTAATGAACAAAATATAATACCCAAATACAACAGAAAATCCAATTTTGTTATATAAAAGTTGAGCAAGTGTGTGCAGGACGAATCACCAGCAAAATATTTTCAAGGGAAATAAAGACTCCTAAATGCCATAAGGGGTGCCCTTTTATTTGAATTCAGATATCGGTGCAAAAGTAATATATGATCGGGGCCGAATTGTATAAAAACACATAAAACCATAAATGTATGTAGTGGGGCATTTAAAAGTCTAACAACATTATGTGTGTCTCATAGGATGTAAAAACAGTCTATACTTTTCATAAACAGGCTGCAGTTTTAATGTTATGGAACTACATGAAAAACATTTCTTTCATATACTTATTCATTGCAATTTGATGTCCAATTTTTCAGGGTTGTTGCAGTGATTAAAAAGGTTTAAATTGCAGATCCATCTTTAATCCATCTAATTCACTTTTGGCAGACTTAACAGGCTTATGCTACGGTGGAAAAAAGCATTTCAAAGGTTGCTACAGTCATGCAATTGTTGGTTTGGAAATGAAACTGCTGCCTCCACCTTTAAAAAAAAATTTTTATAGGGCCATGGCTGGACTTTCAATGTATGTGTGGAAAATATCTGGTGAATATGGTGCTTCCTTAGGTGTTTCTATAGTGTTTGTAAACCACTTGATTTAAAATGTGTGTGTCTAGGGGGTGGGCAAAGACTCACAGGCTGTTTCGTATCTTGTTAACTTGCTTATATCGCGGCGTTTCAATTTATTTTAATCCCTATATATGTATGTGCAGCTGCGTCTCCAGGATCAAAGCAGGAGAGCTTGTTTATCTGTCAAATAGAGCTCCAAAATTGCCACTCAGACACACTAAATATATAGGAAGGCGTCTGTGAGTAGGCCCGTGTCCTCGCCATTGAATGAATGTGTAATAAAAAATCATCTCATCAAACGCGTCCTCGCTGAGTATATTCTCTTAGGTACAAATAAATGATCTCTGCTCCAGGAAGATGCAGTGTGCTCATAATTTGCCCAAAATGATTGATTGCACTGATAGCTCAAAATTAAAACAGATGATACGTTCTGAAGGATGGTAAGCAATTTAGAATTTTTCTGTGGCAAAACAATTGCCTCAGCATAGCTGAGCCGAGCTTCAGGTAAAATCACCAATGTCTGGGCTTCTGCAAATGGGCTTTCTTTCATTTACATTTCCTGCCAGTTCCATTTCTTAGTGTGGAGACTCTTTCATTAGGGTGCCATATGCACACTCCAATAAAGTAGCTCATACTGGCAGGGCTTCACGCTGACTTTTCTTTCCTCCAAGGAATTCATGAGCATGATTTTGTGATGGTAATTAAATAAACCTATTCCAGTTTTGAATCTGAAGCTTCCATGTGCTTATTTTTCTTTTTTTGCCATTTATTAGTCTGGATGTATTTAAGGAGCAAATAACTATTGCTGGGTGACGATCCTTTTTAGCTCCAACTCCAGGAATTTATTATTGTGCTGCAGCTTTAGAGGGTCATATAGAGAGAAAGTACGCAAATGAGACTCTGTCTGTCTGTCTGTGAAACAATAGCGCAGTGTTACAGAAATAAATACGCAGCAATCAAGCACTGAAGTCTCTGAGTAGTCTCTAAATAAAAACGAGTTTAGTCTTATTTTCAGAATCTGAGATTGTGCTATTGCAAACTAATTGAAAATATTCTTACTTTCACAAATGCTATGCAAAGGTTGTCCTCATATGCAAATCTGTAACCCTACCTGAATCAGTAAACAACAGCTGGGGAGAAAAGGTAGCAGTGACAAGCTGTTGTTCAAGAACACTTCCCCCAAACATATTTGGACAGAATCCATGCAGAAGTTTTTGGAGATTGCTGAGGACTCAGAAGACGCGCAGCAACATGAAGCGATACTGTCCACAGACAACTTCAGTCTCCTTTGAAGTCCTTGTGACTTTGATCAGGCTGACAAATCCTGCTTTAAAGTAGGCCTGGGTGTCTATGTGCCTGCAGGCTTTGCTGCGTGTTCAAGTTTTCTCTCAGTTGAGCTACATTACAACAAGCCTATATATGCCGGGATGCTGCCTATCTAACCACCTTGCACTAGTGCCAGCGGTGTGAGCATGCGTTTGAACCGAGAACTGTGAAAAGCAAATATAGTCAGTCTCTAGTGCTGGACCTCCTTAGACTCCCCCAGTACACAGCTGACCTGCTGCTCAAAAAGTGTTGGACTGCTTTATTCATAAGAAATGTACCCCCTGTGACACCCTGCCTCTCCTTACCCGAGACTTTTCCTCCAGTCTGGTCATCATGACGATGGTGTTGGATCGTTGCTCCCACACCATTCTCCAGAAGTCGCTCAGGGTCTCCGGCAGAGGCCCCTGAGTGGCAATGTAGGCATTCTGCTTCCTGTAGCCGTCAATGTAGTTGGCATTAATGTAATCGCTGCCTGGAACGGCTATAAAACAGAGAACCAGTGAAGATATAGGTCATATGACACAGCAGAGTTACTGGCACACACAGCATCCTTCCACTGAGGATCATTTTCATCTTCATCTGACTCACAACAGTCAAGATAAATAAATCTGTCTTCCTGAGCACATCCTTTAAAAAGCCAATCTGTAAATATCAACATTAATTTGGAACGGAGCAGGTTTGTGGAAGAAACTGTAAAGCATTGGCAGAAGACACCCAAAATGTTTTTTGCTTTAATGCAGCGTGAGCCTCAATCAATGACTCTCAGATGACAGCAGTCTGAGAGGTGAAGTGGTTGCACATCATCCTACCATCAACAGAGGTGAGAACCACTCTGGAGTGGTCATAGGCGATGACGTTTGCATAGCGGTTCTTTGGCTTGTTGACTTCCATGTTGGAGTTTTCCCAGGTGAACTGCTGGCCCGGATCAATAGACTGGCAGGAAAAAAAGGCACAGAGCACACGATGAGAACTGAGATGAAAAGAAAGAGATTCTGGACAGAGACTGTCGGCATAGATGAAAGCAAACAGAGGCATAAAAAGAAATATTTCAGTATGACAAAGATAAAGGAATGACCCTGCTGTTAGACAGCAGCAACAAATCATGGACAGAGGACATATCCTGTAAATAAGATGGTGAGGTCTTCTGCAGTCAAAAAGGTAAGATTACTATGTTGGAAATCAGATGTCACCATTCCCTCTCCTATTCAACAGGCCTACTAAATGGCAGTTTTTGAGAAGTCACATGCACACTTTCTTGTCAACCAGAATTCCACTAATCTTATCTTTCCCTTGTTTTTCATCTTGTATTTCAGTTTCCCTTTACTTTCCTGTATTAGTGTTTCACCCTCTCCATATCACCCCTCTGCATTTTAACCATCTCCTTCTTACATCATTTGTCTCTGGAGCAAAGATGACAGCAGACGGCATACATATTGATCTTAGAAGATATGTGATGGCCTCCTATTCCTTGTTGGCTAATGTCACAAAGTCTCTTGTTATTTCATATCGATCCCTCTCAAGTCACACCGGAACCTTGTCGAGTAATTCTCCAGTGTCTTTGTCCAGCAAATTCAGCTGCTGTTGGAACGGCACTTTCACATTTCTTCACTTATTCAACATGGCTGCCTCACAGGTAGGGATACTGGCAGTTACTTTGGAAAGCAAAGGTCCAGCAAAATGCTACTCAGTTTATAGAGGTCATTCTCTAGCTCTCTCTGCGCTGACTTGCTGGTAAAAGTGGCACCTAAAGGTAGCGATATCACATAAAAGCTGTTTTTATGCTTTTTTGGGTAGTTTGTAAATAGAAAAAAAAGCCCTGCGTGTGCTGATTGCTGCTGAGCAAGATGTGAAGAAAGTGAAGTTCTCATACATACGAAATCTTTCACCACAGGTCAGAATTACTAGGCCATGAGAGTCATGGGGCATGGGCATATTGCTGCTGATGAGCTCAGCATGGCCAATTTCTCTGTCGATGCCCGGCAGTGTGAGAGTGTGAGGAGAAAGATTCCATTTTGCAGTCAAACCATGCCATATTCATTTGAGAGCTGACTGAACGCGGTGGGTACGACAGAGGGATGACAACTGGCACACGGGTAAGGTAGGGAGGTGAGAAACAAATCCCCCAAGATGTTCTGAGTGAAACGCTGGAAAAGCTTTCAAATGAGTGTAATGAGATCTCCGTGATGACTGCGGCGAGATGTTGCTCCTGGCGATAAAAAAAACACTGTCAGAGGAGTTGCAGGATGCCTGATTGACAAATTCTGCACATTACCCAGAGTGTTCATTGCTCAGCATGATGCAGAGAGGGGGGCTTGGTGGTAAAGGCAGTGTCAGGCTGCCGAGAACATCAGGGGGAGGAAGTGGCGAAGCCGGTGCAAATTCCCTGCCTCGGGGAACGGCACAATGAGAGCAGCCGGCGGAGGAAACTGTGACAAAGCGCCACCAGCTCCGCCACAGCGCCTCGGCTGGCACGGAAAAGAATGGCAGAACGGCCATCTGCTGGGCGATGGAGGGGGTCTTCTCTTGCTTGGAAGGATTTATGGAGGGAAGGAAAAGGGCTGGGCTGTTTGCCTGCAGTCACAGACACCGCTTTATCTGGTTTGATTCGTTTACACTAACTCAACAAGCCGGGAGGGCGACGTGTAACACAAGGGAGCACTTAAATGAGCGCAGCTTTTTGCCAAGGTCTAAAAATCTCCCCAGTGAGCTGTTAATTTCACATAGCATTACATATAAAAAACACATCTGAGTCACACAGTACACAGTGTTCTCCGATATGCAGCTTTCCACCCAAAAGTAGCATTTCTGTGACTCATTAAAATTCTATCTCTATACAAAACACCTAAAACAAACTACATCGTCCAAGCTCAACACACAGCCAGGCAAACTGTAACAGCGTTGGGACGAGATCGCATTCGTTTACGGATGAACTGCATGGAATCTCTCTGGAATGAGACCTTAATGACACATAAGTAAAGAAATAACGCAAAGTTTATATTTTAATGCGAGACTTTCAGAGGGTAGACAGGAGAACTGCTCAAAACTAGGTCTTAGGTCCTATGAGGATACCATAATAAATATATTTCTCCTTGGAAGACTGAAACTGCCTAGAAAATTTTCTTCATCTATCAGCAGTTTTATCTGACGCAGGAAGGAACATGACCTTCCAGAAAAATGTAAAAGCAAAGCCACACAGTTGCCTGAACAGTGTTGTTGGATCCATCAATAGAGCGGGGCTGATTTGATCAGACAGACCCGAGAATCAGAGAAAATATATAAAAGATGCATCCTGTTTCTCAGTATTCAAGGATGCCTCTTCTTCTCATCTGGCCTTCTTAGACCTCAAACCAACTATGTACCACTTTAAATGCAAATTTGCTCCCATTCTCTAATTCTCTCTCTCCTTATTTTTTTGGTGAAGAACACTGACAAGAGATAATCCCTCACTGAGTTGCACTGGAGAGACCGCCTGCAAAATGATATTCTTTGGGGAAACAGCAAGACACACACAGATTGCTTAAGCGACTCGCCACCTGCTAGTTTTGTGAAAACGCATCTCACAGCATTTAATGTAAGTGTTGCCATCCTGGTGGGATCAGTAATAGAGTTGTAAAAATGGCTGAAGAATGTCTGTACAAAGAAGTTGTCCCTAATCCAGCAGAATGCATGCATGCCAAATCAAAAAGAAAACGTTCCTCCAGGACACAACGATTAGAATAATACATAAAAACAAAAACGATTTTTATGTTCGACAGAGAAGGAATCTCTGGGAAAAAACTGGTGTGTCACTCTTACCTCATATTCCTGGGAAAAGCGGAGGTTGTCATTGGCCTTAAGTCGCTCTATGTGGTCAGCAAGGTCAACTACAGGAATAGGTGGGTGCTCCCTCATTCCTGGGAGAGAGGAAGAGGAGAGAGGGAGAGAGGGGAAAGAGTCAGACCAGGCTGTTCCTTCATTAAACATGCTCTTGACTTCTACAAACAATGGTTGGAGCACAGGGGTGAATGAGGCTGCCAGTGGGAGCATGAGGTGGCTGTGTGACGGTGAGGAGAGTGCACGTCGTTCAACAATGCATGAGGACGGGGAGCCAAAAGAACGCACAAGTCGAAACAGACCGGTGACATTCGGTGATGTCATCATGCTAAGTGAGGAGGACAGACGTGGGGCTGGAGCGGAGATGCGCATGAGTGATTGGGTGAGCATGCTCCTTGAAGGAAGCGCGAGGCAGACATCTCTCCAACTCCTCAAAGCCCAGTTGGTGGCAGAGGTGGATAAAAGAGCAAAAACCAACAAGTCTCTACAAATCAGTCACACTGTCACTTTGTACCAAGGGGAAAAAAAACTGGACTGGTCACCAGCCAAAACTCCTTTCTTTGAAAATCCTTTTCCTAACAATGGAAGATATTTTAGCCCAGCATGCCACTCACTAGATTCCTCATCATTTGGTTATTGGATGATTTATTGCTAATCCACTAACACAAATTTACCAGAATGCCTCTGAACTTGGCAAGGCTATGTACGAAAATGATGGCTAGGAGCTTCCCCCTCAGGTGCAAAAAGTTAACTGTGTGGAATGCATGAAGAGTCTCTAAGGTTAAACAGTTAGCATCATTAACCCTACAGATGGCTAAGAAGTCAAACACATCTGACACCTTAAAAACATCTTTAGTGTATATTAACATAAACGACGTCAGCTAAGCAAGTGTGTGAGGTCAAAGGGCATGAATTCAGGTGAGGGCCTTTGCAGGCTTATTATTCCCATCATCTTAATGGATAATGGCTGGTAACTGTAGCCACTTTGCAAGATGAGGCCTGGCCAATTACACAAATTCAATACTATCGCATGGAGAGAACACTGAACGCATTAACATCAGTGTGTATGTGTTTGTGCAGGTCTTTTTACGGCTTGGATTTTGGTTAAATGGAGGGTGAAGCCAGATAACAAAGCTAATATACAGCAAATGTAACTGTCCGCTCTGCTCAACTATCCATGAAACCACGCGACCCTCTGCTTCCGCATCATAAAGGTGTTGTGGGAAGTTCATAGCCAGCGGAGGGGCCATTGCTAGATCCTTGGAGTGCCAGAGGCTACGAGCTTGTAAGCTTGTGATGTCTGTCAGGACTGCAACAGGGGAATGGATTCAGGAGCGAGTGAGAGAGGAAAGAAAGACTGCATGTGTAGGAATTATGCAGTAAGTGAGAAAACAGACTAACTTGGAGTGTTGGGGCAGCGATGAGAGCTGGGACCTGTTGAGAGAGGAGAGTAAAGGAGGGAGGAAGAAGAACACTCAATCAATGGAGGTGGCTCAGGATCAGAATAGGGCCAAAACTATGTCTGAAAATGACCTTTACAGCTAGTTAAGCGAGTGAACAGCATATGGTGTTTACTCTCTCAGGAGGACTCCTGGTAGAACTTCGAGAGCTAAGACCTTAAGATGCCCTCATGTGAAACTGTGTAGGGCACTAATAAATGAAGGGTTTTATCGGAAAGAAATTTCAAACTAACTCCAATTCTTTACTGATAGAAACTTTAGGGCACTATTACATAAATAAATAATAACTGATATCTTGGTACGATAACAAACAACAAAACCCTCCTACATAAATGACTCAACGTAAAATGAGCGAAAAAACAAAAAGATTTTTGGTGACCTTAAAAAACCCTGAAGAACCGTTGTTCAAGACCAATTCACAAGACTGCAGGAACGTTTGGAGCGAACTGTGAATAACTAACGGGGGGATAAGAATGTTTGCACAGTACTAAATACATTAACCAGATGGTTTTGCTCATCCAGCTGAATGAAGAAGTCGGTTGCTTGAACCGTCATCAGTGCGTAGCTTGGGCTTTGCCATTGCAATTTTTATTTTAAATTATTCCGTCTGTGATCTTTGTTCCTGTGGACCTTTGTTCAGCACTGTCATCACATTCCCAGAAACCAGCCATCGCAGGAATATCCAGGAGTTTCAGCAAGCGCATTATTTCCCTTTGCATTGACACATAAAATATTGATGGGCACAGTGTTGATGATAAGAAAGTGACCATATGCTGTGAAACAGCTGAAAGACAAACAATGATGGCAAACCTAAAAGTGCACGTATTTGTACCTGACAGGCTCATGTAGTTTTCATGGGTTTCTGACAAGATAATGGAAAGAAAGCCTACTGAGGTCTAACCAAAGGAAAAGTCATGCTCTGAAATCTCATTGGGAGCTGAAAGGCTGAGTGAAGAGTTAATTGCAAAAGAGGGAGTACAGAAAGCTGACCTGAGAAGGTTGGAGTGACCAGATATTTGGAATAGAACTTTTCCAAATTGTTGCAAACAAAATGTCGAAACACATCTCGAGAAGCTTTTACAGACTCCATCTAGGGTACTTGATGGATGTGCTTTGCAAACCATAAATAACTGCTAGTCACAGAGGAGAAGAAAACCCTGTTAAACAGTCTTTTTCTGTGAAAAAACGCCATTCTGAGAACAGAGAAATCTGCTGCAGAGTGGACATCATTTTATAGGCTGTTTCATCCTCATCCTATCCATGATCTTCAAATCATGGGGGGTCTAATATTAATTAATCATGCTCCAATGGGTAATGCAGGGCATTAAATGAAAACATTTCCCATCTAAATAGTTGAAATTGGACCATATTTGTTCATTGACCATAAAGTACTTTATTATATATGAATTTCAGAGTTGCTCCTGTAAACTGACAGTAAATATCAATCTAAATATCCCAAGGAGAAGTGAGATTACGTTTTTGTAAATACTATCTGCTGTTTAAGTGCCAAAAGGCGGAGGACAGTTCTGTTGAAAAACAACATGCTACAGACATGAACCGCTATCAGCTGGACCACTCCACAACAACCAGAGGAATCTGAGCAGGAAAGGTTCACCTGCTGGGGGATGAATCAAAGAGAGAAGGAGCAGGAGGAGAGAGAGGAACGAGCTGCTCAATATTCACTCAGCTCAGGCTTGAAGTTACATTCGATGCCATGATCTAGGCGGAGCCTCGGTGATTCTCGATAATCACCACTCTTAAATCGACACAGGGAGATGGCAAAGAAGGCAAAAGAAGGAAATAAGTGTTGACGTACAGAGAGAAAAAGAGGGGGGAGAGAATGAGGGGAAAGAAAAGAGATTACCCTACAGGGGGAAATGCAAGACAAAAGACGAGAGAGGTGGAGTGGGAGGATGGCAGAACAGGGCTCTTTCAGAGCGGCAGCACTGCTTAATTCCTCTGCAGGGGTTCAAAGGGGCTGTGTGTGTGTATGGCAAATGGGATCTTTAATAACCCGTGAGAAGAGATTCACATAGTCCCACACATAAGAAGGAAAAAAAAGAAAGCACAGAAACGCGCGCGCGCACGCACGCACACGTGCACGGGGGTTGACATTTTCTCTCAGCTCCATTGTTCCGTCGGCCCGGCTCACCTTGACATCAGAGGCAGCAGGACTCATTACCAGTTGGGGGGAATGAAAGGAACTCATGGAGAGAGGAGGAGCAAAGACCAGGGGAGGAGGAGGAAGATCAGGAGGAAATAGGAAGAAGGCTGACGCTCAGACAGGAACCCTTACACAACATCCAATCCCACCCGCCCACTCCATCGCTGCGTGTAGGGATAGAATGTGAATTCCACCGACGCTATCAGCTGGATATTGTGGCCAAAATAATTGGTTTATTTAGTCTCATTAGTAATTTTTTGCATGTTCCTTCATAGCGGGCATATTTCCATCTTCAGGATAATAACGTTATAAGCAGGACATACAAGTTCACACCTGCTACAAAGCACGAACAAACAAGACACCACTCAAAAGATTGATTGCCTCTGGGAAGGCTTAAATTAAAGGGAAAGCTTATGAAAAATCCCACATTTAACAACAGCTACTGAAGCCTTGAGTCATCTTTAGATAATTTCTAACAGGGGTTAAGGTGGAATTGGTATTTTTGAACCGCAAAAAAAACAAAAAAAAACACCTTGTCATGTTTTTTAAAGCAATAATGACAGTTCATGTGTTCATTAAAACCTTACACAGAGAAGCCCAGGCTACCAACATGCCATCAATCTCCACAGTAAATGAGCTGGATAAACAGGCCACATTTAGCCCAGACCTGGCAAATCAAACTTGTCCCACATGAGCCTGGCCTGGGCCATATCAACTCTGCTGTTTGGGGAAAATCTTGAATATTTTATTTCACAGCATTCTAGTTCTCACGGGACACCAGGTGAATTTTCAGGGATCATCTGTACCATAATTTCTTATGGACATGTGTGGCGTTTTCTCTGCTATCAAACTTTAGATAGATCATGTAAAATGGTGACAGTGCTGCTTTTTACCTGGTGTCTGGTAGTTGAGTCTTCTCATCTCCACAGGGTCGGAGGAGTTGGCCAACAGGGAGTCTTTCACCCCACCCGAGTGCTCATCTTTTGGTAGGGGTGACGCCCGCTTTCTGAAGTGGCAAAAACAGACAACGGGGCAATGACTACACTGTGCTGAAACCATCTCCTGCCCGATACGTGGAGCTCTTACTTGTTCATCAGTTCAACAAGCAAACTGAAAGCAGAATTGACAGACTGATTTAAAATGACATCAATTATTCCTCTATGTGCAGGCACTTTGACTCATTTGCTGCCTTCATGAGCCTAATAGCATATATAATGGCTCTCAAAACTAGTTCTGAGGATCAGTAATTCAAGAGACAGTAAGTACCTGGGCCTTGTTCCAATTAGCTGGAAAAACTTGAGTTTAATGTGTCTGAAGAAACCGCGTCATTTTGCTGGAGTGGGCTAGGTTGGGTTGGTTGCTGGATAGGTGGCAGCTGCTGTGTGGGAATGTGTACGAGAGTGTGTGTTTGCAAAGACTTAAATGTGTGCTTTTCACTGCTGCGCGTGTGTGTGCTAACAACACATTGTGTTTACTGGCTTTCCAGATTGAGAGGAAAACAGGCGGATGCTGTAATTAGCTCATCAGCTGGGTGGCACAACACTGGATAATTAGACCAGTTCTGCAGCACCTGTGCTGCCAGGCCTCTCCGAGCTGAGCCATGTATGGAACAGAATGGCACGGCTCGGACTGGATCAGCTCATTCGACCGTAGGTTTGTCCATCAGGTGGAGAAAAAGGAAAGCAAACGCGGGTGGCTGCTTGTGCTCAGACAGCCGGCATCTGTTAACACACATGCACACAAACAGGCGCACAGATGTACACACATACATGTGGGTGCGGATACAGCTGCACCTTCACACGCCTTCTGACAGCAAATGGAAATGGGCGGAAAGAAGCATCAGGGCACCCTGTGGAAATTTCACATCTCATTGCACTCCATTTGCAAGTGGCGAGCATAGGTTTTAAGAAGGAGCAGGGCCTTCTGTTAAGGCACGTCGCAGTGAGAATACACAAAGCCGGTGGTGCACACACAGCCTGAACCTGCTTCACCCTCGGCTGCTGAGGGCCGGGGCCCTCGCCGCCACCTGTTATCTTGTGTTCCAGAAGCTTAAGCTAATGCTAGCGACAGGATGGCTAATCTTTGACAAGCATCTCCTCTTTTCCAGCTGAGAGGAGAACCAGACCGTGTCCGGTTTTCCCAGAGATCACTGTCAGGCCGAGAAGGAGGGTGAGAGCTGGGCATCTCTGATCTTTTCTCTTCACAGCTCATCTATCCCCCTGACCCGATCAGACGCCAATCTACATGACACCTCAATGCTGGCCTAAAGCAAACATGACAGGGATACTTGTGGGATTATTCGTCTGTGCCTCAAAATGAGGGTTAAGAGGTCTAGAAATCCAAGTGCACACGTACACACAGACAGGAGGTGCATGTGTGGGTGCGCGGAACATATTGTGCTTAATGAGAGCTGAACCCAGGGCCCATTGTTGAAAACTCCTGTCAAGAGGACGTGGAGGATGAAGGACTTTTTTTTTTTTTCTCCACCAACGAGTCTCGGTGGAAAGTGTCAGCCTAAAAGATGGGAACATGTCTTTTTTCAGAAGCTGCCACTTCACAGGGATTCAGCAACAGGTGATGCCTTGACATATTCAGATAGGGCCAATCTTCAAGAGGCACACTGTCACCGGCTGGATAATGAAACAGCACCGAGACAAACAGGGCAGAACACGAACATGAGGAACACGAACAGATGTGGGACGTGCACTGGTGCGTGGATGTAGCCCTCAGTTATCAGGGGCTGCAGAGTCTGCTGCTCCTTAAGCTAAGTTTGTCCCATAAACACGATCAAATCAGACGCAATCTCATCATCTCTGTTTCTAATCATAGTTAAGATTTGTTTTCAACTTTTGTTTATGTAGTATGTAGAATGACTTGCTTAGATGGTAGCTGACTCTGCAACCCTGAAGATGAACATTATCAGTTCCACAAAACAGATGAGAAGGACTTGGATAATGGAGGATAAAGTTTCAACTGATACCCACCTTTCCTGTTTGCTGCAGTCACAGGAGTGAAAGAGAAGGAGGAGTTAAAGTGCAATTGTTTTCCATAAAGTTTTCAAAAAAATGATTTACAGTAAGATGGAAAAAATGTGTAGTATAAAATAAAGAATTATGGTAAGAACTGCTTTGGAGGTCAGTTTGATTATTGTTTGTTTCAAGTGTTGGTTTAGATGACTCTGCAGGTAGCACTATAAACAAGAGCTAGTGAGATTATTCCCATGCATATTATGTGCCACTCTGCAGTGAAAAGAGCATGCAACCATCCCCGAAGCCCATTCTGTCAATCTACGTCCACTCAGAGGAAGGACCTCCAGACGGAGGATGCACAGCTCAGCAGTGAGCTGTCTCAAGGCCTATTATTAACCAGTCCTTTTCTAAGTCTGCTGGAGACAGCTGCTGCACAGCAGTCTGCAATGCTGTGGATGGCAGGCTGGAGAACAGGTATCATGTGAAAAGCAGAAGTTGTTATAGGGCCACCAGGACAAGATAGAATGTGGAACTTAATCAGGAGGAAGTCAAGTGAGGTAAATAATGGCTTGCAGGTAATAGATTCCAAACCACATTACCATTTTAATTAAGTTCCTCTGTGGACAAACAAACAGCTCGGTAACATTAAAAGGCTTTAAAAGTAGGGATTACTAAATTATTTAGTTGATAATAATCAATTCATTCCAGAAATAACATGGCTATTTTTAAATGAAAGGGGAAAAACAATCCTTCAACACGGTTCAATTGTTCTGTTAGAAATGAACCCGTCATCCATTTCTATTATTTGTGAAATTGAGTGATTCATGATTTGGTAAACTGAAATACCCATCATGGTTGCTAAGAGCCACATTTGACATTGATTTATGTAATTAACAGATCAAAGCTCAATAGCTTACAATTAAAACACTGAAAAGCTGCAAATGGTAAAAATCCTGAAACAGAAAACGGGGGTGGGATTAAATCATTTGGCATATGTAAAAATGACCAACTTAGGGGTATATCGTTTATTTGTAGTATTATTTCTCCATTTATCTGATCCTCGACAGCATCTTGAAGGTCTCTTTGCAATCATGGTGTTCTGCACACCGACAGCTCAAGTGCTTTAAAGAGGTATTGACTGAGCTTTTAACTAAGCCCTCTGTATCAGCCTTCTGTTTCTTATTTGAAATGACCAGTGGTGATGCCAAAACACATTTCTCACTGCTACCTAAGAGCCTTTGACAGCCAGGCTGTGCTTTTATTAGAGCGGCGATGTCAGCTGCCAATTCAACTGACACTTCACATAGCGTTGTTGAAAACAGCCAACTGGGCCAAAATCTTTTGTCTGACACAAATCAGCTCTTCTTTGGCTCCTCTTCCCATCACGCTATGTGCTATAGTAGGGAAATTGGAGGTTGCTGTTGGGGGTGTGAGCAAGCCTGTTGCAGGTCTCATTACCATTCGTGATGCAACCAAAAGAAACCCAGACTCGTGGCTGCAGCACAACCCAGAAAGTAAACAGAAAAAAAGAAACTGACAAACAGGACTTACTTTTTAAAGAGAAGGATGGCGATGACGATGATGATGATGAGGATCACTGCCAGCACCGGGCCCATAACCCACAGCATTTCCGGGTGCTCCGGATCTGCCGTCACCTGGATCGGGTCTGAGTAGGGACTGGCTGAAAATGTCATCTGTAAAGGAAAACAAATAAGAGGAATTACAGAGCGTGAGTTCTGAGTCACTTTGGAGCAATCATAATGGTTTCACTTCATAAACCCAGAGTCATGTGGACTCCCAAGGGCACCTAGGCTGTAAAGAGCATCCACTTAAATACTTAGGACAGAAACAGTGCACAGAGCAAAGTTTCTTTTTTGTGACATTTTGGCAACTGTTTAAGACTGAAATAGGGCAAGAACAAAATGTTGTGACTTTTTTTATTTATATATATATTTTTTAACTTAGGTATTTCTGTTTGAGGAAGCCGAGACAGAGCAAGTGTGTGAAAGAAGGGTGAGAGAGAAAGGATAGAGAGCTGGGGATAAGTGTGTATGTCCCTCGGTTCGCCGAGATAAATGGGGGCACAGACGAGGACTCATCTCTTCTTCATTAGTGTTCACACCGTGACGGAGGAGGAGGGGGGGGGGGGGGGGAGGGAGGGGTGGATTTCCACCTTGGTTGTAAATGGGACATTTTTCCACTCTAGGTCTCCAAAGGGGGGGAGGGGGGGGGGGCGGCATAGGTCTGTGTAAGTGTGCATATGAGGAGTGGATAGACAAGGCAAAATGCAGTATGGGAAGAAGAGAAGAAGAAGGCAGACAGATGAGAAAGAGAAAAGGGGGGTACACAGCATCTGTCATCAGGGCTCAGCGGGCTGCCTATTTAATGCTGATAGGATGCGCAGGTAGGACGAAAGGAGAGAGGTGTGCGGAGGGGTATGGGTGACAGATCGCAGACCTCGGAGAGATCTGGGCTCCCAGCATGCAGTGGGAGTGGCGGGCCAGCAGGCGACAGTAATCCGCATCATTAGCTGCACAGCAGCCATCTCTTTGGCACACAGGCAGATATTAATTGGAAAGATAAGCTGAGATGAGCTCAAAGAGTACTGCACTCAGTCATATACTTCTGTTATCTCGTGCACTCTTGGGCAACTGCCGGAAAAATTTACATTATGGGTGTGTGCGTTACAGCATGTCTCAATCGTGTATGTGCGAATCAGTGTGCTCCGATATTAGACGCAGACACGAGATAACTCAAGCAGGGAAGTGAGAAGATTCACATTTTCATATAACGGCAGTCGTTTACAGCACTGTTTTTCATTTATCTTTGTCTCTCACACACAAATACACACGCAGCACAACAGACCGGTTTCTCCTCTGATCTGCGCGCCTTTTTGGAGGAACCGACTATCTGAGAGCAAAGAGAACAGCCACGGTGACGGGACGCCGTACATGTGACGACACCACAAGGCTTCCTGTTTTTGGGAGGGTCCAACAAAGCTTTAAGATACGGCCCTGCAGGGAATCCTGGGAAAATGTTCCTTTTTTTTCCTGGCAACAAATAACTGCAGCTGTGCTTTGAGAGAAGGACAGAAGAGGAAGAGCAGTGGAGAGAACATAAAGAGAGGGCTTTTTGTCCGTTGGTCACGGCAATGTAGAGGGATCATCCATTTGAACAGCTCTAATATCTGATAAAAGCTCAGTCATGCGGCTAATAATGCTTGTGCCCTCGCAGAGCAGCATCACAAAGAAGCTGTGGTGCCGTGAAAGAATGTGTGAGCCTGAGAGTGGGTCTGACACTGTGAAAGACATTAGTTTATCTCTTACACTTCTGAATCATAGTATATAGCTGTGCTTACACTGTTTACATGGGTGGGTTTGGGAATTTGAAAAGGTTGAAATCTTTGCTTGCAATCAATATGCTTTTAAGTATAGATGGCAATTTATCTTTCAAATGCTAAGTTTTGAATTTCCAGTACTGTTGGCCATCATTCCTGTGATCTGAAATGTTGATGTAGCCACTTAACTTTTGATGCAGACACTCTCAGGGTGAGCCAGAGAATGATTTAAAATTTCTGAGAGTCTGTAAAGGTCCTTTTGACTTTGTTTCATGTAAAAGGCCCAAAAAGACTAAGCCTATAAGAGTTTAAAAAATGGACTATCCAACCGCAATGACGTCTTAAACCTGCAGTCATATTGATATAAAGCTTAAAGTGATTTTTTAAATAAAGTATGAAAGCAGTTATATTTCACATTGTTATATATACAGTACTGGGGAAGCCTTCGCCGCTAACCTCATGCAGCTAAAGAGGATATTTTACTCAACTCAGGCCATTAAAGGTTAAATGAATATGTATGTAGCTAGATTGAGGAGATATTTCACTTTTCCTTCTTTTTCTCATCTTATGGCTCCATATTCTGCTATCATAAGGATATTTTTTCTTTTCTTTTTTATATCCCACTGTACTTGAAATGCATCAGCACGACAGGCTGATTAATCCCTACACCCAAACACGCACTGAAGGTTCTAACTGATTCATGCAGGAATCAAGACTTGCTATTTGTAATATATCATCATAATAACCTTATCAACTAATCAGGAGCTGCAGTTGTCAATGAGCTTGTTCAAGTGTTTGTAGCTTGATACCAAAAGTAGCAGTGATCTATTTAACTGTGTCACTCACTATTTATTTATATTTCATATCAGCTGCTATTCAGAGCTCATTTTGAGCTAACTTAACTTGAGTGCTTTTTCTATCATCAGAAAATTGATTACAGAGTCGCTCAAAAGCCCTGAGAGCTGGACCAAAAATGGATTTCATGAACCAAATGCACAAAGCAAATTAAGTATCTGATACAGATTTGATACATTTCTGCTAAAGCTTCTCTCTGGGAGAAGAGACGGCACGTGTGCGCTTGCGAGCAAAACACATTATACAGTCTGCATCATGACAAGCATTATGGATGAATGACTGCACAAAGAATCATTTGGTTGCATCTGAATGTGTGTGTATCGGTAAGAATATCTGTTAGAGCATCTGCGTCTCAAAGTATTTCTGTAAGCTCCCCTGAACCTCCACAAGCAAGCGTGTTTGTTTAGCTCGCATCCATACATGTGTTTTTCTCTGCAACACAGCAAGTTGACAGGAGACGGGGATGACAGATGGCAGAGAATGAGAAGTCAGTGAAGGAGCAACTAAGGTAGAGATGCTATGGTACATGTAGCAGGAGTAGACCAAGTGTGGAACCTGGACTATGTGCTACACATCTTCCCAAGTCAGCCACTGCTCCAGTCCCCTCACGATCCTATGTGGAGCACAGGCACATTTTTAACCACCTACTGCCGACCCTGCTTGATCCCCGCTTCCCTAAAATTGACATAAACAAGTCGCACGATGTGTGATAGACAAACAGACAAACAAACGCATAGATGCCTGTTACATATCTGCAGCTTTTTTCCGCCTCCCCGAGGAGGCAGAGGAGCCCACACAATCCTCCACACGAATGACACAGGCAAAGACAAAGAGAGGGAGGGGGAGCAGATACCGACAGAAATGGAGGTGCAAAGACTCCGCGTTTATCTTCGAGTAACAGACAGTGGCTGCAGGGTGTAGTCTAAAACCGTGTGTTGACCCCTTCCCATTGTCCCCTTCCCATACTTCTTTCTCTGCTCATCCCATCACCTATCCCCTTTCTCAGGCTGTTTGAACACAGAGCTCTGATTACCTTCATAGACAAACTGCAGCAACTGGCTGCCAAGGTCCAAACCATCACAGAATTACGCTCAGTAAAAATGAATTTCCAAAAAAGTCAGTCAAAATTTACAGAAAGAAATTCTTAAATAGAAATGCGATGTGATCTATTTTGTTTCATTACAGGTTTGATCTTTATACAGACTGACTTCTAACAGGAATACAGAATATTAAGGATGGCTTGATCCATAAATCTCAGCAAGGGACTTCAATAAAACCACCTGCTCATGATACAGCTCTTAGCTCAGCCCATGTGGATGAGGGAGGGTGTCTGTGGTGGTCCTGTGATGTCAAGCACAGCGTTTCTGGGTGGGATCTCCTGTTCACTTAAATCAATATCACTACATTTTTGTGGTGTTGGAGGCCAGTCGTTTTTATTGGTTGTTGAAAGGCAGAGCACTGTCAGGGATGCTGTTGCTGTAAGACAGTTTGCCTGTTCAGAAACAATGTTTAGGTTTGTCCTATGAAGCAAAAATAAAATAAATGAATCCACCACATCACTTGTTAGTACTGCGTTACATTACATTACATGAAAAAATAGTGCTTGATTGATCACCGGGCATTGATATCATAATTCTTTTGCTTCTCTGTGGTTGTTACTAATAAATTAAAGAAGGAATCCAGATATCTAGAGGCATTGCTGGAGGGAACCACCTCTGGGAACAGATGTGACACGGCACGACTGAATATATATGCTGCCTACATTTCTACCACTCTGGAAACTTCAACTTGAACATGGTTATGTTCTCAAATAGAAGAGGGGAAAAAAAGCCTTCATTTGTCATAATTCCCTCTTAATGCTGTTTGTCAAAGCAATTCAGTTTTGAAAGAATCCTGTCTTCAATGTTAGTTTTTTTTTTTAGGTCCTTAAGCAACAGAAGTAGTGCTTCAAAGTCAATTCCTCTTGTGAGTGGGGAATGTAGAATTGCCCAGATAACGCTGGAAGATCACTTTGTTTTGGTTTCTTTCTGTGCCAAAAGCTCACCGTTCACTTATCAACAGAAAAGCACACGTTATCACGGTCTCCTCCTCCAAGTTCACTTCTTCTCATCCCATCTTCATAGGCTGGACCGGACACAAGGCAAACACGGCCATCCCTTTTTTTTTCCTCTATCCGACATCTCTTTCCTCTCTGTCTCACATCACACAGCATTTCATGCTGCCTCCCTCCCTCCCTCTCTTTTTCGCATTAAATGATACTGTTTATACACACCCAGCATCTATCATCCCATTTCACACTTCCCCCGGCTTGTTTATTTGCCCTGGGTGAAGGGGGAGACATGAAGGTACACTCTCTTCTCATTCCATTCTCTCATCCCCCTTTCGCCTTTCCTTCCTTCTCTTCAACCACTGCAGGCTGCATGTGACCATTAATGTACGACAGCTTATTAAACCCTGGCGGTCTTGTTTGATCCGCACGAGGGGAGTTTGGGGTTGCAGTGAAGAAGCCTAGTAAAGACACAAGCCATTTATTCCCGTACTTGTTGTTTTATTCTCCTGGGTCTGGTGAAGACCCTGTTTGATGCGGCCTCCGCCAAACTGCTCGATCCAGCCGCACACTTTACCGTCTGTAACGCTGGGTTTGGTAATAAGCGCCTGAAAGTGTTGAGTGGGGGGTCACAAAAACAAAACGCCCGCTGTGGTATTTGTGTGGAGTTTCCCAAAGAGTGCAGTTAGGGGGTTTAGGCGCATGCATACAGTCACGGCTGAACATATTAGGATGTGCTCAAGAAAATGAGCTTCCTAATGTTTTCAGTGGACCCTGACATGGTCTTGTTATTTTCTAAAAATGGGAATTTAGAAAAGAATAGCTTTTTTGGGGGGGCTTATTCTAGTTTTAAGCCAGGGATGGCATGTCTTTAAGGAGTTTGTGAAGCCTCATGTTAGTGGTTTGTTTCATCAGAACATTCTGATCTATTCAAAATGTCACGCTGCACCGTAGCTCTGTAAGTTCTACCTTTCTGTGTGCACATATTTGCAGGAGCTCTAATGTTCAGCTGGTTTGAGTAACTTTCATTCCAAACTTGAATTCCCACATTGGAACTTGACGAATGGCTCTTATTTCTGCTCCTTTTAAAATAAACACTGTTCTTAAAACTTACTTTTGACAGTTCTCTTTTTTTTAAGAAGTTGAAAGAATGATTAAGCAGAAAAGAATATGCAGGAAAAATCCTGTCTGTTCCAGCCCGGAGGTTCCAGGTCAGAGCTTCGTGCTTCCAGTATGTTTGGTAAACTGTAAAGTATAGTAAATAGATGAGAAGAGACATGCTGCTTGAAATGAGTGGCTCCCTGGCAGGCTCACACAAGTTCACATGTGGTGAGTCAGAATACTGTGTTGGCGCATGCTTTGTCAGTCTAGAAAAGAAGGCATCTTGTTTGCGCAAAAAATGAAAAAAAATCGGGCTGTTGAAGGAAGCTTTCAATGGAAAGGTCTCTAAAGTGGAGGTAAACAAAGTTCGACACACCCTGTGAGTCAGGACTGATTAATCCAAGTGATTTAGTTAGAAAAGTGGAAGTGTGCGACCCAGTTTAAGAAAGGGAAGTACACAGAAAAAGGCTAATCTCGAGCCACCCTGATCCAGCATGGTGTGTCTTGCAGGTACGGTGAGAGTGTTGTGCAGCCATGGGATTTGAGTACCGCCTTTGAAGTCAACTATATCACGGCTGGGCAGTACAGCCTCCTTTGCACATCCCTCCCCTTCTCCGAGTGGAGAAGAGAGGGTTTACTGGAGGAGGAGGGGCTTTAGGGACATGTAAAGTAGCATTTCAAGGGAATCAGGCCAGCTTTACAGGCTCTGTTGGCCCTGTGACCAGGTCCTCGACTCCCTCTTAACTCCAGCCACACTAATCAATCTCCTCGGCGGTCTTAATGCTAGAGAAAGATGTGAAGAGGCAGAGGGAGGCGGCGGAAAAAGGAAAAAAGAGCTTAGAGGAGGGAGTGAAAAGAAAGAAACTAGGTGAAAAGTCTGAGATTTGGCTTCGGACATGAAGCACCCGTGCTCTCCCATTCTGCGGATGCCCAGGGCCCTGCTGCTGAATATGTATGTCCCGGGCACTGAAGGAGCCCAGAGCAATCGTGTACTCTCATTCCTCCAGCAGTGAAGTTTAGCCCAGACCATCCCACAGAGAGCCAGGTCTCCGCGTTAGTGCTGTTTGACGAGTGCACAGTGACTCCACTTAGAAAGCTAAGAGTCTTGCATTAGCATTGTGAAGAGATCTGTGTGGGGCACCGCTGGAAGAAATATAGGAGCCAGATTTCTGATGCCACTGTCAGCTGATAAGGGAGTTATCAGGACAAGCTATAATTACTTTCAGGGCTGGCTGTATTAAAAGGGTAAGCGCCAGTAAAGACAACAATTCAGCTTGCCATTGCCGTTTGGGGATTTGTGGATTGGTGATAAACTTAAAAAGTTTGGCTTGAAGCAAGAAAAGTTGTTGCCCCCCCAAAAAAACACATAACGTGTCGAGGTGACTTCTGCTTTAATTCAGCATATCTTAAGTCTTCCCTCAGAAGCCATCATGACACACTGTCAAGAAAGACTGCATATGCTTATCAGTAGGTGGAAAAACACGTGTGTGTGTGTGTGTCTTACGTAATTAGCTGTGCTGTCTGTCTCTTCATATTCAAGTGCCGCCAGGACGAAGCACAGATACTCCTGTTGACTGGTCAGGGGCTTGTTGTAGAAGTTGTTGTACCACTTCTCATCACCCAGTGTGAAGGTGGTTGGCAAGGAGTCCAACTTGGCAGCGATATATGGCTTGGAGGAATCCAGGTGACGCCGGCGCCTTAGGACTGGCCCCTCACTTGACCTGAGCAACTGGAGGGAATGCAAAGAGCAACGGCTTGGATCAAAAATCTACAACAGTTGAACCTTCGACTTCTGACAGAAATTAAAAGGAAATTCTTAGAAATGGTACATTCAATGGAATGTACTTGAGTATAGTAGAGAAAAAAATGGATAGAGTTTGGTAAAAAAAAAAAAAGAATTTACATGCAACAAAAAATCATAATAATAAAAAAAAAAAATCATCAGCTCATAATATCTTAAAACAACAAAGCCCTTGCACTGTCTGTAAAAGTCCAGGTCTCGTTCTGCCTCCATAAGAGATAATGATTCCACTGAGCTAAAATGCCCCTTGCCCCCTGATATCACAGCAAACAATGAAGCCCAGCCACAAAGTGAGCAATTAGCGCCTGCTCCGACACACAATCTCAGCGTGACTGCCAGCCTGGTTAATAAATGAGCAGCAGCGCACAGCACTGCGGCATTGTGTTTTCAGCAGCATTTTGTTTTCTCTGTCAGTGATGTCTGATGCGCCGTTCCAGATGTAGCTTTATTAAATCATTATGTTGGAGGGAGGAGACAATAGCCTGCTCGCTGTTCAGTGACTCAGGGAGTCCCATCTCCCTCTCGGACTCCTCTGTTGTTTCTACGGGGAGCGTGAAGAATAGCGGTTCAAACCAACAGACCTTGTAGATTGCTCAAAAATTCCGCTTTTAATATTTAGACACACCATTGAGCCTAAACTCCCCAAATGAATAAGAAATACTTTTATTCAGAGGAATATCAACACACATTATCTTAATTTGAGTCGCTCGTGTAAAAGTGTGTGCGAAGCTTGCAAAGACAAACGAGAACAAAAATAATGTGTAAATACTAAAAAGTACTGTATCAATAAAGTTGAATTATTTAACAACTTCACCAATTGTTACATAACATAACATAAAGACTATCCTGTGTGCGTGCATACTGTTAAATTCAACAGATGGGCTTTGGCTGCAGACCTGGCATCCAATCAGGATACTCCCCATCTACTTAAGTGAGTCACTGTTTGAAATCTCTGCCCGTGCACCTCTTCCTCCCTGAGCAGAGGAGGGCAGATCTAATTAGCTCCTACCAGTGACTCCTCACCCAGTTGGAAGGAAAGATGCCTTTGGTGACCCCTGACCTGGCACATTAGCCGGCCAGCCACTGCCTGGCACTCACCTCGTCCAGGTCCATCTCGTCTGGATTCTTCCACCGGCGCGTTGCCTGGGACACTGGCACCACCACAATGTAGTACCACCTGCCAAGACAAATAAAAGCCTGTGTAAAGACCGAACGACCAAATGCGCACACACGCTGCAAATCGTAGTCGGCCAAGTGTATTAATAACGTGGTCAACGCATTTAACATACTTTCAGTGTGAGGCTTGTTAGGACGAATTAAAACCTAAGGGGGGCCACGAGTGGGTCCATCCAAGGTCGAACACCAGCAGACTGGCGCTGCATTCTCCAATTAATGACTAATCACTTAGAACATCTGCCACATAGACTGAAACAAACACTATCCCAGTGAGGGGAGCCTTCAGCTAATAGAAATCCCCGTAGGTTTCCTCAGGTTAATAAGAGCAGCTATGTAAGTAGCTGTGTGTGCATGTTCTCCTGCTATCATTACAAAGACCAAAATAGGGGGAAATTAAAGATATTAGAAAGGCATTAAAGGGTCAAACTGAGGACTTTATATAATAAATTAAGGGGGTATGCTTGTGAGTGCACAATGTTTTGTAATTTGTTAGCACTTTCTCGCTGTCTCGCTTGTTTTTCTCCCAGACTGCGCTCCCACAGCTGAAAGTTTTCTCCCCACTGCAGCATTTTGTAGAACGAGCTGCTGCTCGCAGCCAAAGCGGCTGCCTGTCTTCCCTCCTTTCCATGCTTCGCATCTGTAATTCAACAGTCACTCAAGGCTGGGAGCTGGAGAAGACATGTTTAACAAGACTCTTCCCTGCCCCTCTCACAAACACAGCACCTTAACTCTTCCAACCCCAATCACGGCACTCTTTGTATGTCAATCTCTGCTGGAGCTTGGGCAGGCTTTAGAAAACCTGTAATCTTTTTACCAATCAGTGTTGCACAGTCTTCTTCCAAAGATTCCCCTGCGAGTGTGCGCATCTGAAAGAAAGCCTTCACTTGTACCCCTGCACTCATCAATTTGCATCAAAAGATAACAGAGTTTGACCTGATGGTAAGTCCCAATTATCATCAGCTTCTGTGTGAAAAGGGTGGCCAAGAGCAGAAGTTGAAGTTTAAGCTTCGAAATTGCATTTCACTATTGATCTGATTTAAGTATGCTATTTTGGAGCTACAAGCGTTCAGATTTCAGTCTATTAACTGATGATATATTATCTGTTTGTCAGCAACCAAACAATAAAATTTTGGGGTAAACCTACCCATCATAACTACGTGACTTACAGCTATTTTTGCTGTGTGTATCCTTCATGCAAATGTTTATCCATCATGCTAATGCCCTTTTGCTTTCATGAATTGACCAAAAAAATAGAGTAAGTAAATTGAAAAAGCAGAAATAAATATTCAGGCATTATATAAAATATATTTATGTATGAACGTATTTAATTTAACTTTAAATATCATTTTAGAGTTTGCTTTTACTTTTCAAATCATCCTCTCTGTCCCCAATAAAACGTTCACACGTTTTATTCACTTATATTTTCACTGTGATGCTTGTCATGTTACATTACTTTAATATGCAAATTAGTGCTTTCATTCAATTATAGTAGCACTTGCCACCTCGAGACTGTTGTTTGATGGCCTTTGAAGTATGTGTACTCAGTCATGTATTTCTTTATTTCTAACATTGGGGGTGGAGACGGGGAATGAGGAGAGCTGCTGGACTCAGCACTGACCTGACGTGAGTGGTGGTCTGGACCTGTGGCAGGTTGATTGTCATCTTGCCGCCTTGAGCCTGGTGGTTGCTTGGCTTGGTTTTAATCAGGTCTGGGGCGGTGCGAATGGACACTTTCTGCTGCAGACCTCCAGCAATGTTTCCTCTGCTTGTCAGTACAAACGAGTAGTCTGTGTTGGGCTGCAATTGTGTGATCAACTTCCTTTTCAAGTTCCCCAACACTTCCACACTTTGCTGGTTATACAAGATCTGTGGGCACATGGGGGGGAGTTATGATTTGAAGGTAGGGCACAGACATATCCACACAAAAACACTATTCCGCCTTCCACACTCCTAAATGCAATAAGAAGTACAAAAACAACAGTAATGTAGTCCCATGGGGGACATCCTTCAGAGCCACACTTGCCCACTGGTGCACATCCAATAGTTCTTTACACTTCAGATTGCCTTTGCTCCTTTTTAATGGAGTGGGAATTGATGCAATATCATTTTGACAGATTATTACACCTCATAAATGAGCATGAATCTGCATTTCAGCTTTTTCAGAAAACATATGAAAAGCCACTTGATCAAATGAGCTAAAAGAGTTGCTTTGAAACTGATATGTTACACATGTATGAGCTACAAGTGTCTCACAGCACAGGGATTAGGTAACAACGGTCACAACTTTGTATATAGTTTTGGCATTTACTATGTTTAATTGGTTTCTTTCCTTTTTTAAAGTCTGATCAGGGCAGGTACTTGCCTTAAATGGAAGCTGGGGTTTGTAGTTCGGTGGTAAATCCCAGGTGAGCAGGACGGATGTTTTTGTGACAGCTTTCACACCAAAGTTAAGGGTTGGAAAATCTAGGATAGAAAAAATGTTGTTCACAAATAAAGTCAAAAACTTAAGTAAAGAATCTAGGCGTATAAGTCAATTCACTCTCAAAACTAAATTAAATAACTCCCCAAATAGAAGATATGACACTGAAGTATACTGTGGTTATACCTTATTACAAAACTAGAAAAAGCCACAGTGGATATCAGACACAATCACATTCACGCTCGTGTTTACAGTTCTCAAAACAACAGCCTTCATCCCTGTAGGCAGGTTCCATCTTTAACACCCCATTCACAACAAGAAACAAGCCACAGATGGAGATCTGCTGCAACTAAAAATATACGCAATGACAAAGGAGTGGTAACTAGTTCTTTGAATTAGGCATCAAATATATTTAAAAAATGAAATATTACATTTATAAGATTGTAAGATGCATGAGAAGGTACATGCTGGGTACTTCTTAGATCTGTGTGTAATGGGATGGAGGATGAGGATGCGTGGTAATGTGACTGTAGCGTGTAATGAGATTAGCACTCTATAAATCAATAAACAGTGCTGCAATGTACTGAGTGGAGGAGCAGGGAGACTTGGCTGATAGAGACCAAGCCAGTTCTGCCGAGTTTGAGACGACAGAAACTGGTATGAAAGTCGTGCATGTGCTCATGAAAACCAGGCCTGTGGTACGTGTACACACACACACACACACACGCGTAGAGGAGTAATTATGTAACCGGTGAGCCTGAAGGTTCTATTGCTTATGCAAACATGTGACGAACCACGATATCGTGTTTTCAAATCATACAAAACTGCGAGTGTTTGAGTGTAAATGTTAGTTAGATGTCCTACCACTTGTCCTACCATTTGACATGGTCCTGCTCTGGATGCTGGGGCTGAGGGGCCCCCCGCCCTTGCTGGTGAACGCCTGCACGCGGATATCATAAGTGGTGTCGGGATTGAGGCCCTGTATGGTCATGTAAGTGTCAGCCGTGCGGTTGGTTGTGTTTTGCTGACTGTTGATGTCCCGGTACACGACCACGTAGTGAACGATCTTGCCGTTCCTCTCCGGCAGCAGCGGAGGCTCCCAGGTCAGCTGGGTGCTGGACTGAGTCAGTCCGGTGACTTGGAGGTTTATCGGGAAGCCGGAGGGCACGTCCTCAGGTGTGCTAATTTCCTTTACGTACGCCTCACCGATGCCGGCGCGGTTGCGGGCGCTGAGGCGGAAGACGTAGGTGGCACCTTTGTGCAGACCGGTGACCGTGTAGTGGTCATCTGTCTTTCTCAGCTCGCGGGAGGTGAAGGCTTCCTCATCAGTGCGCTTGTACTGCAGCTGGAACCCCATCAGCTCACCCACCATTTCCTTAGGCGGCTGCCACTGGATCAGGCCGGTGTTGTCCAAGGTGGTGCTGATCATCATGGTGGGTTTGCCTGGGACTAAACATAAATGAACACACCGGAACATAAGCTAGGAGAGAGAGATATAACTTCGAACAACTAAATCCTTGATACATTTTTTCTTTATTTCTTTCTCTTTTTGATTTCGAACAAAAATTTTAACAAAATTAAAAAAGCTTACGTAAATGTATATATTATGCCATCAAATATGTTCATAATACAAAACAAACAGCAAAGAGCAATGAAAACTGTCAAGCAAACTGTTTTGGAACTTTTATAGGTGTTACCCCAAACTTCAAAACAGCATTCTAAATATGCTAATAACATTGTGCAGTAGATTATTCAAATATAGATCGACCCAACTTCTGAAGGTACATACCATCCCTTGCAATAACTGTGTAATAACTGACCAAAGTAAAAACTATTGTGAGAGGATTCAATAGGGGCCATTATATACTGACTGCTGTGCCAATGCTGTTTGTGGTTATGGTATGTAGCCATAACAAATCAGCATGTATAAGGACAACTAAAACAAGACGACAGGCTCCCTGACCATATCTTGAATCAGCGTTGTCACTCGTCTAGCTTCGCTTCCACACATGCCAGCTATTGCTCCCACAGCTAACCCTGCAGACGTGTACGACAGGAAGGGAAGCAATTCAGCTAACCTACAGACTGTGGTGGCCCACAATTATGGGGAGGAGAAACTTTCTATGAAAAGCTGTTTATTATTGTCGACTGGATTGTCAGTCCTAATCAACAGGATTGAGGGTGAGCTGCCACCAAGCGGAGCAGTAAGATGGACCTTTGAGTTTCAGATCCTACATGTGAGACACTTTGGTTGGTAAAAATTTGGATCAGGGCAACGCTCATTCCTGCAGCTGCGGGTGAAGCCCACAGAAATGAGCATGTTGATCCTTGAGTCGATTTTTAACCTGGGCCTGAATGCCAGCTCTAACTCTTCCTTTTAAATCAAACACCCATATGATCATGGGTTTAAATCATTAAAAGTGGGTATTGTGAATGTATTCGTCTAAACTGATACTCTGTCTCAATATGCCTTGATATTTCTGTGGATATGGCTGTGTGAATTCCACCTGCAAATATTTCTATATAACAAAACAGCCAAGACAAACTGGATTAAGCTTAGGGTTATTTGCCTCTTTAAAAGCATTTCAAACTGAAAACATTTTTTTAAATTTTGGCCTAAGAAATTTCAGTTTTCAAATCCGGCAGGAACGATGAATTAGGAACACAGAAGTTATCACCAGTAACCTTGTAGTATTTAGTATAAAAAGGCACAGGTTCCTGTGCATCTTCTCAGTTTTACATAAAAGCCTGATTAAAACCGCCTCCAACCTGCTCCAGTTGTAGTGATGACTTTGGCTTTGCTGCGAGCTCCATCTCCCTTCGTGGTGTAGGCTGCCACGGTGACAGAGTACGTGGTTTCAGAGTGCAGTCCACCAATGACGGCCTCCTGTAAAACGGCAAGACCACAGGTTCAGATGTGAAAAGCAATCTGTGAGATTGAGCGAAACTTGTTCAGAGGTCGGGGAGAAAAACAAAACAACAAAACCCTCAAACAAGCTCCTCTCCCCTGCAAAACACACAGCACCAAAAGAAACCATCACAAGTTCAAACCCCCTTCTCCATCCACTTATAGTGTGTGGACCAATTTGCCTAGAAACCAAATAATTATAATACAAAACAGCGGAAGGTTTCTGAAGTCACACAAACAGGAACAGGAACTTTTCTCAGTCAAGAAAAACTCCTGAACCATATTGGAAGGCACACACTGAACCCATTAACCAACAAACCAAATGAACCAGAACATCACCAGTGTGTCAGTGTTCATGCCTGCCGCATGGATAAGCATGAGATTATACCCAGAGGAGCTTAGGATCAGAACTACACTGCAGTCTGTTGAAATCCCACAAAATAGAAAACTTCTGACTGTGGGACAATGTTCAAACTCTTTGAAATAAGTCCATGATATGAATAAATATTAGAATTTTGAATAATGAACTCAGATTCTTGGCATTTATTGTATCAAGAATGTCTGGCTGAACATCCAAACAGTCTCGACACGGGAACAGAGACACACTGAGGTGGCTGAACAAATTGTTAACTCGGCAGTCAGGAACAAACAGACAGAAAGGGCAAAAAAAAAAAAAAAACAAGAAAAAAAACAACCGAGATAACAGACTGTTATTGGTAACCTGCTGCAGAGCTGGCACTCACTTTACCAGACTGCATCAGTCTGAATAAAAACACACCCACACACTGGAATTAAACACACCGAGCTTGAACAAAGCCTATATGCAAACAAGCAAACACACACGTACACGCAAATGTGCATACTTACCGATACATATTCAAAATACAGCGTATTAATTCACACAAATGTATGCATGCATGTGCAGAAACACAGACAAAAAAATGTGCACGTGGGGACGCACACAATGATATTCATAGACATGAGCACGCACTCAGGAACAAATGAATGCCCGCGGCTTAAGTACACATACTGGAGTTGTCTGTTTCTGTCTGGGGCCACTGAGAGGACGAATGCACAGATGCCTACGAGCCTTCCTGCCGGAACTCCTCCCAAGCTTCAGACTCTTGGAATATTATATGGCTTTGCCCTATTGCTGTTTCTCTAGCGAATGAACTTTTCATTTCCTTAACATAGAGGAACATTCAACAGTATATATAAAGAAACAGATAGACTGAGCTTTTAACTGCCTCTCTCTTTAAGGGACATTTGATGCTCCTATGTTAACCTTAGAGGAATAGCGAGTGGGGAAAAATGCTAAATTACTGGATCATAAAACCATTTTAACTTTATGGAGGAAGTCTCATTACTTTAATCATGCAAAATGGCTTTAACAGTCTCTGCAATGGCAGCTCCCTCTGTGCTGGCAAGGTCGATTCAGGTCTACTAACACTTTTGAAACTCAGCAGAAAATAGAAAAAGCGAAGCTTCAAAGTTTTTCTTAACAGCAATTGCTTACAGCAGCACCAAAGGGCATTACAGAGATTATCAAGCCCACTAGTTATAGAAAGGGATTCTTCTCTAGGAACCCTTTTTCCTTCGTAACTAATTGGAGTGGAACATTTTGGGAGAAAAATTAGCAACTGAGTAATAGCAAACATAATAGCTTATTTTACCCAGCACAGAAAAATCTGTGTTGGTTGTACAATAAATAACAGAAACATTAAAAACTAATTTTAAATTCCACTCCTTGGGGAAAAAGGTTAGAAATACGTGCTGGTGCCTCTACTGCACGCATGTCTGTGGCTTGTCGTTAAACTACCTGGAACACTGAAGGCTAAGAAATGAGGATATGGGAGCCTGGCGGTATCGAGCTCTGTGTCTGTCAGGTGTTAATCAGCACATTAAAAGCAGAGGGAGAAGCGGAAAGACTGACTCGTGATGTGTGGGTAAAGCTGAGGGAATGTGCGGAAGTAGATTTCTCAAATTTAGGATTAACACATAAATACAACAAGCTTCACACACCCTACTGCTCCACTTATTGGGGGAAAAAACACAGGCAGATAAATATGTGGAGAGGAATATTCAGACCCTCTAACTTGATTGAGCTGATTAAACAGTTTTCCATGAAAAATGTCAGAGGAAACACTTTGTTTCAGGACTCAGATTAATTGTTTCATTTGGCTTCTTAAAAGCTGTAAAATCTATGAAAAAACATTTCTCGCCCCTGTTTGAATCCTGAAAGGCATTTGTTAGTCAGGCCAGCTTTCGCTGAATGTCTGACTAGGGACTGTAAGTGGCTCCACATTTATGGTCGTGTAATATGACGTCCAGGAGGTAATAAGCCATAACAAAGAGCGGCATGACAGCCGTGGAGCGGCAAGCTGCCATCCGGGCAAATGAAAAGGACATGAAAGGCTGGTGGAAATCTCAGAGATGTGTGGAGCTGATAAAACCCACAGCTCCTCCCTTTAGATAGACATGTCATGGAGAACAGTGGGGGAGACAGCAGGTTAGGTGAGCCTGATTAATGTCACCACCGCACTGAGATAGTGACACAAAGCCTTTGACTGCACTGTATGCTCAATGGTGGAAGGCAATCCATGCACCCTGCACTAAGGGGCCTCCAGGTTGCCACTTGTTACTGGGTTTTCTTATGGGGAAAATGCTGACCTGTGTACAATCTTGTGGGTTTAATACTGATGCTATGCGGCAAAAAAAGCATACATGTACATAAAACCTGGAATCATTTGGAGACGTATTTCTTGCTGTGAGTACGATGGAGCTATGAGCTTTCATCAGGTCTCACATCCACTGGATTACAGGCATGGCTTATGAAAAAAATAAACACACGCGCGAGCACACGCACACCAACCGCGTGATCCAAAACACACAAGCACACGCTGCACCCCCAAAACTGCAGAGGGGAGAAGAACCGTCCCTTTAAGGCAACCCAGCAGCACACATGGGAGTTACTCACATGCTCGGTGGATTCTTCAATATTCCACTGATGGGAGAGAGGACACGGGACACAGGGCGGGGAGAGAAATGAGTCAGAAACAACACAACAGGCAAGGAAAAAAAGCACTTGTCTTTTTTTCGCTCACAGATTAATGTAGGTGTCAAAAGAGTCATGCTTTTCGAAAGAGGAGGAAGCGATACGAGATACGAAGTTAAAGAGGAAGAAGAAATTGGCAAAAGTTGAGTGACGTAAAACAAATTGGGCAAATGAGTTGAGTGATGGTTGTGAAATTCTCTGGAGTGTATGATGCACTGCCTTGTTTCCATTTGCCCTTGAATCCAGTAAAAAATTAGGCCCACCCTTTTTCCTGTCTGAACTATCTCACCGTGGACATGAGCGACACAGAATCTAAGAGTCGATTCTTCTTCCCCTAACGGGGAACAGAGGGCGGACCCTTTATTCATTACATTTCAATATGTTTCCAAAATGTTCTCCTTGCTCGCTGTGCTTGGCCAAGTGATTCCTGGGGGAAGTGAAAGCCCATTTCGAGCCGCGGGGCTCCGCCAGCGCCGAGCATGAAATCCTATTACCAGTGCCGCTATGTTAGCCTGTGACATCAAACCCCACTGATGCAGAACGCAGCGGCTTGCGTTCACCAGCAATGCGCGCCCCGATTGGGTCGCTGCGGAGGAGTTCACTGATGGGTGGCCTGGATGACAACGGGCAGGAGAGATGACACCGCTCACACTGATGAGGGACAAAGTGGGGAAGAGAAGAAGGGGGTGGGGGTGGGCTGGAGGTGAAGATTGCGTTGCCAACTATTGTAACAGCTGCTGGTGGACTACAACACTGGGTAGAGGAGGAGGAGGGCAGAGGCAATTGATGAAGGGATTACAGGAGGAGATGAAGGCACTGGTAAGGAAAAAGAAAGAAACCATCTACAATAGGTGTTAAAGGGCCAGTGCACCCAATTCTACTTCCTGACTTTTAACTCGCTGGGCATCTGTCCATTGCAGGTCGGGTTCCATCTGCTCAAATAACATCTAATTGCAAGATAATCATTTGGATTATTGAGAAAATGTCCATGTTTTACTCTTTTCATATCAGGATCTTTTCAAAATGCCAATATAGTATGATCCTTATATGCCTTCAGAAGTAAAAACAGACCTGTTTTTCAGTTTGAAGGTGTTGGTTTATACAGCAGACACGTGTTCAGGCCAAACCCGAAAGAGCTTCCTGTCTTTACTGATTATCACACTTTCCCTCCTGCCTCAGCCTCTCGCAAACAAAGGATTGAGCTTAACACATTAGTGAGTCATTGTGCTGCGGAGAGACAGTGCTCATCACCCACTATTGACTGCTGGCGTACGAGACAACAGAGAAACATACATCTCCACCCTTCTCTCTGTGTTACCAGCCAGTTTACTGAGGCATGACTTAAACATGGCTGTGAAGTCCCAGCTGCGACCAGTTAAAACACATGGCACATCAAAAACCGCATCCTCATGCTCCCCCGACATAGCAGGATGCTAAAAAGTGCCATTTAAGAACAGCTGCTGCTCCCCTCTACGAGCAACAGTTAGCAATGTTCCTAATTGCTTAATTTGTTTACCGTCAATTTAATTCAGTATGTCAGCAGAACAGCACACACATTGAGGCTGAAGAGTTCCTATCTCATCTTTGGCTTAATCCCTTTCTATTGCAACTCCTTTTGCTTTCTTCTTAAATCCGGGGGAGAATTATAAATTACCCTCCATTTCTATTTCCAATACCAACGCAAGCTGAAAACACATCATTGCTGATAAGCGTCGTTTGTGGAAACGGAGCAGTATAATTTGCAGGCGGGTGAATGCAAATGTGAGGACATGGGCTGAGATGTGTGGCTATAAAAACGGGAACGAGGGGAGAACGGGTGATGTGGAAGAGAAGGAGCTGTCATGATTGATGGAGTGAAACGAGCTGAGGTGCTTCTTTTCCCCCTCTTTTTTTTTTTCCAATTTCCATTCAACTCCAGTCTGGGGCAGTGAAGGCCATAGAAGCAGTGAAGCATCACCTCGCTCACATAAACTACAAAAAACGCATGAGTGGTCAAACCAAATGAACCTGGAAAGTAGTGCTGAACACAGGAAAACTCTGGCACAAAGGCACAGAAATGCACAGGCGCAGACAGAGGCTAATGGCTTCGAACACACCGAATTCGGCAAAGGTTTTTTTTTTTGTGGCGCTTTTAGGCGGCAGAACGGCAGAGCTGAGACACCTCGGTGGAAGCTGGGGCGGCCTGTGCGGTGTGGAGCTGCCAGCCGAGGTCCAGGCCGCTTTTCCGGCAGAAGTGTGGTTGCGAAAGGGTCGATAGCATCGCGTTGTTAACATGGCCTGTGGTTTAAATTTAGCAGGGAAATGAGGGCGATGTGTGGGCTTCGGCTTGAAAAGAAAAGAAGCGCTTAAGCCGCCCACGCACAGGCGAGCTCTCCTAGCTCTCCTCCCAGCGTTTCAGCTAACCCTGAGAGAGGGTGAGAAGCAGCCAGCAAACACAAGAGAAGTGGAAAGCTGATAGTGATCTCCACAGGATCTGCAATTCAATCAGGCAGCTTAGAGCTGGTGATTGAAGTCTAAGTTGAGGATGTGGTACGTTGAGAAAGACCTGGAAGATTTGGACTTTGCCTCTCATACTGGAAGGCGTACGGTGCACCTAGTTCAGGTGAAAGGGCTGTTATGCAACCGATTTCACAAGAAATTAACGAAACGCTTGGAAAAAAAGCATTGCTAAACGTTCCAAGATTGAAGGCAGCTGTTTTTTCAAAACATTTTTATCGCTCATCCACCAGCTTTTACAGGTGTGACTCTGTGGGATTTGCATGACTCCATCATGAGTCATGAACTCTAGAGCCTCTTCTGTGAGGCCGATCTACGCAGCAAGCATGCTGGCTCATGTTATCTGTGTTGTTTTCCTCTGCTTGTTGTTGGGAAATGGGAATCGGAAGATGTGTGAAAAAGGAGGGGATTGTTCAAAAACCAGTCGGGTGAACACGGATAAGGGACTGACGGCTGACTGTGTGGTCTTTAATGACGTCCGGGCAGGTTCTTGCAGGTTGGCTACCCAGCGATGTCTCACGGAAAATAATCTGTTGAGATGACTCAACCAAGGGTAGCCATCCCGCACGCAAGCCTCTGGTAATTACTCAAGCAAATTTCAAGTAGGATGAGTGCAATGAGGGGCCACAGCATAAAAGGAAGGGGGCTGTAACGAGAGAGGAGAGGAAAAACATAGCCAGCTTTCAGAGGAAATTCCAAGGTCTGGCAAGGAGGGGGCAGTATGTTTGATAAGTGTTCTGGACGCAAAAGCAAGCACAGGAGAGAACATACCGAGTGCCAAATTACAGTTTGTCTTTGTGTTTATTGTGTGAACACGCCACAAATGAGACATGGCAAGGGAGTATTGTTTGCCTAACAAGAAGGGTTACGTCCCGTTCAGTTTTCACGGCGCCAAACTAAATCGCGCTGAACATGTGGGCATGGAGAAAACACTTCCAGGAAGACAAGCAGCCACCATGTTTTCTACCACTTTTGCAGACCGAATGCTGCAGTCCCGGCTGTCAAGCACTCCCCTACACAGTCAGATAACAATGAACTGTCAGCAGCGGCTGCCAGAAACGCTTCTGTAAAACAAAGGCAGGGCTGTGTTGGAGTAGGGGGGGCTCACTCTTTGACCAGGTGTAGAGACGCCGTAAAGCGTGCCGCATCAGCGAGGGCCATCGCTCAACTTTACGCTGAGCTATCGCTGCTTAAACTAAATGATCCGAACGGTAATGTTGTGTTTTCCCAAACTGCGTGGGAGCTGCAGGTGTTGTGACAGCCACACAAAAATAATTGATGAAGAATTTTATCGAATGCCATTTCCTTTTTGTCAGACGCTAATTGCATGAAGAAGAAAAAAAAAAGGGACAGAAAATGTGCCCATTATGACTCCCTGACAATTTGTAGTTGCTTAGAGCTTTTCCGGTCTGTAACCCTGCTCTAATAAGTCAGCACCTGACAAAGTCTGCATTAGGGTCCCTTAAAGGAAACATCTGTGCAGCGCTTGGCTTTTTCTTAAATGTGCAATGACCTCCGAAGAAACAGGTCAGAAGTGGCAGAATGGCTTCAGGTCCACAGGGTCCAAGCAAAGAGACACACTACAGTCACTAAGTTTGATTCTGCTCCCGCACGCAAGTGTATATGCGGACAAGAAGGGTGTCCCACATAAATGGCAAAATCAAGATGATTAGAAGTTTTTATTGCAAATTACAGACTTGGCCCCAGCAATTATCAATTAGGTTAAAAAAAAAGTTAGATAAGTTCTTTTTGATGCAACATGTTCGTCACTCCGGGCTTAAAGGTGACGCACATGTAACTCTAGATCATAATGGGCTCATAATGCTGCCATTTGCCATAAAACATGGCTCAGAAACTCATGCAGGGGTGAATACTTTTCTATTGTTCATATCCCTTAAGACAATGAATACTTACTCTCTCAAATGGCAAGCTTTTGTTAAAACCCACTGGGGGGTGGAATACATGTTTGTTCCACTGCTATGCACAGCAAACATTCAGGAGGTGGTCCTTAAGCTTGTTTCTCCTCTTTCAAACGGAGAGGAAAAAGTGAGAGTGGTGCTTTCTTGGTTTAAAGATATTCATGAATCCTTGAGTCCCTTTTAAGGATTACAATCTTATCCATCTCATAGTGTTGCACAGCTTTATGCAATCCAGCACAGTCTTTATTAATGTGTAAAGGGCGGTGTCAGGAAAATAACTCGAATTTATAAACATGGTAACAAGGCAGTGCATATGTATTACTGCTAAAACCGCAAAGAGAGGTGCATTGATTCCACTAAGCCACATCCTGATGCAGCACACAGAAAATATCTAATAGCTATTACTCCAGAATTTAAGTGGATTTTGTTCCGACAGCTAATCCAAAGCCGTGGGAGCCGGGTACCAATTTAGAGTCAAATGTCACATGTGGAGAAAGGGTGGGTGGATACTGCAGTCTTCAGAAAAATTCTGCATGGCAGAATGGAAAATAAAAAGTGCAAACACAGACAATGCAGAGGAAAAGGGTTCAATAGAGAGTGGCAGCTGTGGGAAGGGTAAAATGGGCAACCACAGAGGAGATAGTGGAGAACATAAAAAATATGGTCAATATTAAGCCTTCAGCTCGTACCTGTGCCTCCGGCAGAGCGATGTCCATGATGTTTGGCTGGCCTCGTGGCTCATTGTTCTCAAGCCGGGAGAAAATGACTTGATAGCCTCTGATTTGGCCGTGCTGCTTCACCTGAAGGGGCGGCTTCCAGGTGACTCTGATGGCTGTGGAATTAATGGCTTCCACCTCCAGTTTCCTTGGGGGTGCCCCTGGCACTGCAAACCCGACAGAAAAGTGAGGAGATGGAGGAGAGACAGTAAAAAAAGTCAGAGGAGTGAGGAAGAAGTTCAAATGTGCTGAGACGGTTATTTTTCTGGGTACACTGCTCAGGAGCCGTAAAACTATTCAAATATTACTAAAAAAGTAAGTGGCATCAGAAAAAAAGGAATCAAATCAATTTCTCTCTGCTTCAGATGTCTCAAAATACCCTGTAGGCTGCAGCATGTAGTCTAGTCATGTCAGTAATGCCTCTAATTCCAGGGTGAAATTAGATGTGTTGCAGCAAACTTCAAACACATTAATTATAGAAGACTTTCTCTTAGGAGAAGCTGGCCTCTATTACACAGCAAATAAAACATGGAACAAGTAGGGGGGGAAAAAGAGCAAAGAACGATGATGAGAGAGGACTGAAAGCTGGAGGATTATAGAGTTGGACCATCCAACTCTGCCCTTCCATGTTGGCCATCTTGCTACATAGGGACTACTCAAAACCGGAAGTGGATCGTGATGCCATATTGTTGTTCAGGCTTTTATCATTACCAACACTCTCAATAAGGAGAATTCTTTGTAGTGGTGAGTTTTTCTGCTCTCATTAGCCAAACTGCTAATCAGACGACATCAAATATTAATCTTCCTACTACAGCAAAGTAGAATATGTATGAATCCTCTGTTAATAAAACGAACAAGCCTATATAATAATAGTGTGTCTCGCCATGCATATTTATCAAATGTATGGCGATACAATCAAACAATAGTCTAATAATCCATCACAGAGTTTGTGTTTACTTTACTGACACACCGCCGGTGTTTCAGTATATCTCTATTCACTGTGAGGTCCTAACGTCTATTAGAAAAACCCAGAATAACAACATAAAATAAGATTATGAATGAAAGATGAGCTTTTCTCCAAGCTGTCAAAATTTTTAGTATCACAATTCTTGCTGTAAATAATAGATAATACGATCATTCATTCCTAAAAACTTCTAGATAAGACTCAGATGACAGTATTTTGACATTTTAGGCTGAACAATAGGGTTGTTATTCGAACTACTATTGATATATTCCAGCTGCCTTTTGATGTCTTTTGTACTGTTCCATAAAGAACCTAATAAGGGTAACGCTTCAATCTTATGACACACAACAAGCTGAAAGTGAAGGAAACTGTTTCTTTCAACGATAAAAAGAATATATACATGTATGTATATATACTATGTAGTTGGAGATGCAGTTTTATTTGTGCTATACACCTAAGATAAGTTGAATTTATGGCTACGTGTGACTTTACACTCTGGTTTTAGTTGGATGGTCCAGCTACACATTGCAGCAAGTCATAATCTAGATGTGATCCTGAAAATACAAAAAGGAGAAGACAAAGCATGCACCCAGAAGAGAAAGCTGAGCAAAGCGACTCAGATTTGAAGCCCAGGAGTGATGAGCCATGACCCGTCACTGATGTTAAGGAGCTAAAAGAGCAAAATGTGAAGAAGGGGGGAAAAAAAGAGGGGATTCGAAGCAGTTGCCAACGTTGCTTTGTTGACTTGGAATTGTTTTGAGAAGGCAAAGAGAACTGCGTAGAAGAGGTGGAACGGGAACGGGTGAAGAAAAACAAGACAAGCTGCCGCCAGTGAGAGACGTTGAAACGGCGAGAGGTGTGGGCCTTGACGGAGGTGTAAACCTACCATCCTCTCTGGTTCTCATCCTCACGGGAGTACTCTCCGGGCCCGGGCCCACGTCAGTGTGGGCCCTCACCCACACCTGATACTCAGTCCACTTCTCCAGCCCCTCCAGCACATAGCTAGTAACGTCTGCGCCGATGTCAGACTCATCATAGCGCTCTGTGTCCTCTCCGGCCAGGGCCTGGTAGCTGACCGTGTAGCGCACAATGGCGCCGTGGCGGCTATCAGCTGGCGGTGCCACCCAACTCACCTTGAGGCTGGTGGAGCTCAGGCTGACAACATGTACCTCCTGAGGGGGTGCAGATGGGGCTACAGGGGGGGGGAGGGGGAGCAAAACCACATGAAGGCAGGGCACAGATCGAGCAAACAAACAAGAACTAGAATGCAAACACAAACATGGAGAATCTAAGGAAGCCCTTTGCACTGTAGTCATTATATGTAAACATACATATAAGTATTAGAATATAACACAACTAGCACACTTTGGGTTATCATTATTATCTCCAATGAAATAGTTCTCCCAATTAGAATACTGCAAGATAAAAAAAAAAAGTAATTTGGCTTGAGGTTTACGCCAAATGCAAAAAGCTTCCATTCTAAACAAGGTGCCACCTCTAGACTGAGAGACTGGATACGGTCGAAGATGTGCTTAGCGCTACACAAAAGGGCCATTAAACTACAAGGTAAGGTGGACAAAGTGTAAGGCCAAACATTTTACAGGGCAGTTTTTTTTATGAAGACATCATTTGTCCCTAAATGCCTTCTTTGCTGCCTCTTCCAAAAAGCAGAGGGAGCCATAAAGTGGCCATAGATGTGTAAGCTTGTGAACAAGTGCTCAACTGTGTTGACTGTTTTTAACACATAGATACAGAGGCTCTGGGCTCCATTATAGAGGGTGACTTGCAGCTGAGATAGGCGGCTGAATGCGCAGACTTCATTTTACGATCAATAACGCCAAAGAATGTTCAAAATGCTCCCAACATCTGGTTTGAAGCCACTGCTGTAGAAAACGTCACTTTTATCAGCAGATGTTCAGTTATAAATGTTCAGATTTAATAGATGAAACATGGTGCTCTGTCACTTACTCACATATTAACTACAGTCTTCAGGTGTATGGCCGTATGTTAAAATTACACTCTAAAAATTATTGTTTAATTTCCGTCTGCGTTAGGCTGTAATGTTTAATTGTCACAAGTATCGGTGTGAGTTAAAACACTAATAACGAACAATATAACATGTCTGTGAGTAACTAGTTACTAATAAGAGTAACATAATTTACTGCAGATGCAGTAGAATTGTTGGGAGACTCTCAAGTCTAGAGGTAAAAACAAAAACCAAACTCATTTAAAAATGAGAAATAGAAGAACTGAAAATATCTATAACACAATGCATGCTCCTAACTGAGAACACTTTCAACTCCACAAAAATAAATATTTGAAAGAGAGTCATATGAACGGAGCAAAAGAAAAAACGAGGTGTTCTTACACGGCATGCCTGTGGAATCTACTCTTACAAGCAAGCAGAGCAATGAACAATGAGAAGAATTATGAGTGCGATGAACAAATGCCAGACTGTGAAACTCTATCCTCACAAAACACAGGGCTTAACAAAAAAGAGACGTTAAGGTGGTGTCTGACGCACAAGAGAGTGACCTAAACGAAAAAGATTCCACAGAACCTTGTGTACTAAAAAAGAAAAGGTGGCAGAATCATACAAAGAATGATAGAAGTTTTGAGGTTTTTCAAGAATGTCTCCTGGTGCAGATTTAATAAAAAAAAGTGTAGAGAGGACAAACCCACAGGGAATATTAATGCCTACGGGGCTATGAGGGAGCCAATTTATAATTAAATTGGATCATTGTTTGAATTTTAAGCTCTATCAATGTAAAAAAAAAAAATTACTGGTACCTTTAAATCTTTGTCTGTTTTTTTAACAAACATCACATTTTTGTTTCCATATCTTCCTTAATCTTAATGTTGCAAACAACAACATCCATTTGATGTTCTCATTTTCAGCAAAGAGGAGGCAAATTTCATCATGAGCTGTGCCTTAAAATCTGCCTATTTTCTCAATCATGGCAGGGCTTGAGTCTGTCCACTGCTTTGACTGTGAGATAAATGATACACAACATTTAGATGCAGCACTAGAAAATGTCACACGTTCCAACCGTCTGTTAGCCTCAGAGATTTCCCAAGGCTGTTGCCACTTTCATGAAAGCCACCCTCACACGGCATAAAATTCTAATTATTTTTGTAGAACTCTGCAGGATGCACAAGGACGCAGACTCATTATTTTTTACGGTCTCCACTAAAAAGGATCTGCGTTTGTTCGAGGTGTTTTTCTTTATTCATGCTATCTGTCCCACTGGAAAGTCGGGTGTACAGAAATGTTTGTTCATGCTTTCTTCCTCCAATACTGCGCTACAAAAATCCACACCAACACCAAAACATCCTCTGGAGATGACAAGAAATGGCCATAAGGGTTCAGACAGTGCCGGCTTATCTAAGAGAAACAAAAAAATCGAGCTCCTACTGCAAAGTCCGCTGCATTCTGCTGGTGTTTGAGCTCAGCAGCCAGACGTGTACAGCGAAAGCAAGTGGATGTTAGTCCCAGAATGTGCGCAGTGGTGCAAATGCACACAAATCAGCTTCCACTAATTAAAGTTAATTCCGTGATTAACTTTAATTAATCATCACATTCCGATCACATTTGAAAATTAAACATGTCTGCTGTTGGGTTTGTGTGCGCTCTGCAAGCTGGCGTCTTTGAGCAGCCAACAGTCTTACGTAAGGGTACAAACTCCACTCGGCTACACCTCTGCGCAACCACGGATGGGGTGCGTCTGCTGCTCGTGACGCGTCCTCTTTATATTCGAGGGCGTTATGTCACTTTTAGGTGTTGCATTATCCTGGTGGATTCAGCTTACGGTAATGGTGTAATTTTGGTTGGAATATAAAAAGCGAGTGCCTCCTCTTTTGTTTCTAAGTTCATGTGCAACACACAGAATCTCCCTGGGTGAGGTGGTGAAAACACTCCGTTGCCACAAAAAGAAAGAATGATGTGACATTTTGAATGCAAATAATAATATGGAGAAAAACAACACAACACAGCTCACGAATGAGGGAACAGGACACACTTAACGTACCTTTGACACAGGCCCCCCCCCCACATGGGGGGGGGGGGGGGGGGGGGATTTGTGGAACCCAGAGGCTGACCGGGATGGCTGCACTGCCTGTTTTTTATGTTGTGCTAAAATGGACTTGACATTCAAAACGCTCACACTCTCTGTTTCAGGCTCTATTTTTTGCGTCACTCACGGAACAGAACGACCTACACCTGCCTCAGCTGGCTATGGGGGGTGGGGGGGGTCCTCCAAAATTACTGGTTAGTGGAAAACAAGTGGACAGGACAGATTAGAGTGACAGCCAGGGGAGAAAAGCGGTGTACTCACTGGACTGAGCGGTGCGGGCCTCTATGGGCTGGGTGTAGACCCCTAAACCCATTTCAGAACGGGCTGCCAGGGAGAAACGGTACAAGGTGTCAGGCTTTAAACCATCCACAGCGTAGGATCCAGCTGGGTTGAACGTCACATGTATCTGGAGGGGTTTGAAATTGGACAGATAAGAAAACAGAGGCACGGTCATACAAGCCTGTTTGTGTATTGAGCTGTTTTTGCTGTAGCAACACGGTTTAATCTTCCACTGAAATTCTCCCCATTGTGTAAATGCACAAACTACAGCCAAATAAGAGCACAGCCAAATGTGAGAGCAACCTTTTTCAAAAAAACAATTTGCCCTCAGGTTTCCACCTGGTGCCGTCGTCCAAGGGACTCAGATGAATAGCCACAAAAGAGGTGAACAAACCGTGTTGCGTGTGCCCACAGCGGGTTTTTTCTCATCAGCCGGGGAGGTGGCTGCCTTACTACAATAACACAATCTCAGTTGACGTTACTCATTCTGAGAAATTACATCATGGAGGGAAAGGATTCACGCGTGTGGAGTTTCGCAGGCGTAGCTGAGACAGCCTCAGCGGCAGACAGACGTATGGTCCGTACACATGGCCGACTTGTGCAGCAGAGCAACTTGGGTCATTAAATAGTCATAATATCTCATCGGTATTCTAACCTTCTTGTCTGAGCCGGTCTCCCAGTACTGCAGCTCATACTTGGTGATGGGGTCCTGCACGGGCCACAACCAGGACAGCTTGATGCGCGTGTCCAGCTCGGCTTCGGCCTCGAAGCTGGACGGCTGGGCAGGCACTGAAAAAGCAGGTGAGATGGCATTTTTTGAGAGGCGAAAGGAAGAAAAAGCGCACGCACAAAGCGTCTTTGTGTCATAGAGCTGCATTAGTGCTGTAAGTAACACTGAGTCACACACAGTGGTTCGCTGCTCACCTCCCTGTTGTGTTTTGACTTGCAGGATGTCAGAGGGTGGCCCGTCACCCACAGAGGTGAAGCCCAGCACCCTGAGGCTGTAGGTGATATCAGGAATCAGGCCCGAGATTGTTGTCAGGCTGCTATCGTCTGTATTGTGTTTCTGCCAGGCGCTGAGTGGAGCAGTCATGTCAGAGCTGTAGTAGACCCTGTATCCCCTGATTTGTCCATTGGGCTCTTCAGGCGGCTCCCACTGGACCAGCATGGTGGTGGCGCTCAGCATGCGGGCTTGGACGTGCAGCGGGGGTGAGGAGGGGGCCTGCTCGGCGGTGCGTGTCTCCACATGGTCGCTGGGAGGCCCACGGCCGATGTTGTTGACAGCCATGACACGAAACTCATACTCCGAGTATGGACTCAGGCCTCCGATACTGTACCGAGTGGTAGCTACACCCTCCACTTCCTGGAAGCCGTTGTCAGAGGACTTGGCTCTGTATTGAATCATGTAGTAGGAGACAGGTTCTGGGTTTCCAGAGTCCCAAGTGAGAGTGACACTGGTGGCTGTGGTCTCAGTCACAGTGAGCGAAGTGGGGGGCTTTGGTAATGCTGGCGAAGGAAAAACACAGAAGCAAACTCTTAGCTTTGTAGAAATAAAATGACAACATGATGAATGGAAAATAAAATCTCTGAGACTTCATACAACAGATTAGATCAATAAAGGTAAACAATCTAATTGGAGAAAAGACATTACATGTCAGCTAATTATCCTATAGTAACACATAGGACAAAGATGGTGGTATCATAAACTAATCCACATAGAGCTGTCAGCTTTAATTATCCCAAACTGGATAAAAAGGCTAAACCGAAGTCCCAATTTTGTGTTAAATAACTGACTTGGCTTTTACTGAGAACTGAAAATAGTGTTCCTGTTGTTACAAATGCAAACAAAACATGCCGCATTAAGACTTCCTTGGGGAAGAATGTCTGTGGTGCTGTGGTCCCTCTAATGACTGTGACATTTTGTGCATCGATCAGTTGAGAGGAAAGTTAAATCAATACAGACAAATACTGATAGGAGAGTCTGCGATAGGTAGACAACACAGTCTCAAACACACACACAGACACACACACACGCACACACACATACGCGCACTTGGGTATAGAAACAAGCAAGCAGCAAAATGAAAGTCCCCACATCAATGCATTGACAGGGAGACCACAAACCATGATAATCTCTTATTTGTATTCTTAGGTATCACTACAAAACACGGAATACAAACTAAGAATATGTATAAGAAGTCTCACTGGTGATGACAAGATCTTCTCACAGCTTTTAACATGTCTTTATCTCTATGTAATCTTGGTGTTTCAATCACATCTACAGGAAACCCGCTGCAAGTCTGAACGGTTAGTAGCAACGGGGCTCACCTTTGACGGTAACCTGCGCTGTGGCTTCAATCACGCCCAGAGAGGACATGGCGATGCAGGTGTAGTTGGCTGACTCGCGGATGTTGGTTACTTCCAGCACATTGCGTCCCATCGGCATCTCTTCCTCCTTGGTCAGGTCCACCTGGCCCGTTGTCCATTTGACGTAGGGCATTGGCGAGCCCACGGCCACACAGGTCAGGTTTACGCTACCGCCCGGCATCACCTCTTGGTTTGTGGGTGGGATAGAGAATCTAGGTGGAACTCGTCGTACTACAAGGACCAATCGAAGAGGAGAAAAAGGAGTAAGTAGGTATGATGTATGAGACGAGTGTGTTAGATTCTTTGTGGCTTCATGAACCGTCTTTGTCCATGCAACACTACAAGGGTAAAATCTAACTCAGAAAAGCTAAGGGACGCGGGGCTGATCGATTTTCCAAATGTGTCGGCAAGCACTATGGGAATAAAAAGACTGTCACAAAGTGACTGAACATTCCCTAAAAGTTGTTGAGTTGTTTTGTCCTCTTCCCTCTGTTAGAGAATATAACCAAAAATAGCCAAGTTTTGCAGGAGACTATGTCTGGACCTCCTTTGTCAAAGTGTCAAATGGTGGTGAGGGTTGCATCATTGAGGGGCCCTGTGGAGATGCCATTGTTTGATTTCTCCTCCTGCTTCTTCTCTCCGGCTCCTTCAGCTCAGCCTGCCTTTCTCCAACCCCCCCCCTGCCCCCCCTGTCTCTCCCAACTCTTTGTGCAGTTCTGATATGCAGATAGGCTGACATTAAAAAGAGGTTCCCATGGAGACGAGAAGGGCCCGCTGACGTCGCCTGGGACAAGGCGAGCATCGTTTCAGAGGCTCCATACCAGTCCATACCAGAAGGATGGACTGGAATTAATAGGCCGTCAGCATTTACATATGATTTGTTTTCTGTCAATATGAAAATGCTCCGGAAATGGCTTGCTTGGATACGCATATTTCTGGTAACTTCTGGCAATAAAGTAATGGATTTGATATGGTGAAGGGGACTTGACGTCACGGTGGTCACGCCACACCTGTTAAATGTGTGACACGTTCCAAAAAGTCTGCATCGTCTCTAAACAATGGAGCTCTGACTTCAAGCCAAACATTTAGCTCCCCACTGAGGGACCCATTATCTCTTTTCTACAACTGGTGTTCGTATGTTTTCAAGACACCAGAGCGAGAAACCATCCCTGCAGAATTCATGCTGCTTGTTTCCCCTAATGCACTACAACACCGCTCGGTCTGTGTGAAAAAAAAAGCTCTTGACTGTAATTGCTCTTATGCACCAGTCTACATGAAAATGGATTTTCAAATATGAGTCTCCCTTCACAGTCCCTCCACCCCACCCTTCACCCCTCCCTCCACCATCTAATTTGAACCGGAACATCGTTACAGCCATGCTTGTTATTCCCCTCATTATGTGGTGAAATGGAAAAACACAAAAGCACCTTTTGAGATTCCAGTCAGGAAAAGGCTGGTTCTCTGGACTGAGTTATAATAAGGGGGGACCAGGTTCACAGTCGTCTGAATTTTCCCATAATGATTGAGGTGCTGCGTGTAGACTTTCTGCCGTTTTAATCAACACACTCGTGTGGGCCGAAACTGCTTGGCTGGGTATCAAAAAATAATTAATATTCCAAGTCTGACTCACACACGGTCGAGTGTGTTTGGGAATATGGCCTTGTGAGTTTCTTCTACAGGAATTTGAGGATAACACAAATGGCAGTTCAGAGGTCAAGCAAGCTTTAAAGATGAATGCCCTGTATTAATAATAGTAATATGTTTTCAAAACAGTTCACCACAGTACTACATCACAAAATATGTGCCATCTGATCCCTGAGGTTCCTCAGAACTGCTCTTTATAAAGAAAGACTGGGCAGGCTGATTAGTGTTACACGCCCGGGAACAAAACATGGATGACATTCTCAAACGGAGCATGCATAGGAGCCAAGGAAAGATATGGGGTGGGACAGCAAGCCTGAGGGGGATACAGGAAGAAGTTAGTCCAGGTTTCTGGTGGAATCAGCCAAACATCAGATTACCAGTGTGAATACAGCAGAACACCCTTTCCTTGAGGACTTCGACAAACATATTCCACTCGTGTTGGTAGCCATCTGTGTAACATTCTTCAAGTGAAGCCACTCTCTTTAGTAACATATGCTTATGAAAGAGAGAAGGAGGAGAGAAGCAGGTCTAATATAAACCATTAAGCTCAAAGTAGCTGTTATTCTTTCATGATTCCAAAGACTTAACAGTGCTAAGAGCAGTCAGTCAATGGGGGCTGTGTATATTGAACACTTAATGTTGTGAATAATTCATGGCGTGCGGTTAAGTTTGGAGAGGTGCTGTGGAACAAAATGACTAGAGGGCAGGTAATTGTTATCGATTCCCCGGAGCCTCTCCTGTTGAGAGCGGCTCGGAGAGATGGGCTCCGGGACTCTATCAAAACCACAAAATAAGCCCTGTCTCCACTCTGCCTGCCTGCTTGCTGGATACCTATAAATTTAACTGCCTTGACAAAGTGCCCAAGGATAGCAGAACCTGTTCAGTCAATCAATATCTGGCACAGACTGGCACGGACTCAGCAGGCTCCCGGGCTTCCTGGCAGCAGCACCAGGCTACCATCATGGCCGATCATCCCCTGTCAGCACTCTGCCAGCTCATTCTTAAATATTCCACAGGTCAGCGCTTTGCCTGGCACTGTTGTGCAAATGGCACAAGAGGAAGGATAATTCTCCAATCAGAATCCCTGCCGTGTCCAAAGTTAGTGTCAAAATTCATTTACTTTCTCGAAGTTTCACACTAAGTGGATCCGGGATCAGGGACCAAAAGTCATAAAATCACTTTCATAAACCTGTTAAAGATTAGGTGTAATGCCGCAGCTTTAGCGCGTGTCATCTGATCTTTGTGAGCAGAGCCAGATTAGAAACTTCCCCACCATCCGGGGCCTTCCACAACATCCCGCAGAGACTGGAGGATGCCTTGTCTGTTCATTAGGCCAGCATGTGCCGATCACATCCTTCAGTCTCTGGGTGGAGGCTGCCTGTGGTGGTAAAGCACACATAATCCCCAGAGAATGGCTCTGTCAGCCCTGATACCCATGTCCCTCAGTGGGAGAGCAGGGGTGTGCTGCTGCCTAAACACCTGACAAATCCGGTTGCCACCTGAATACCCGAGTAATCCATCACATACCTCTGATGGGCCTACTGAGGCGGATGGAAAGTTTGAGGGTGAAAGCAGCTATAGGATTTGGTGGATGCAGTTTACTTGGAACAATATGGGTGTGGTAGGGAAGAATGAACAACAACGTAACACAACACAGAACTAATAATGACTTAAGCCTACTGCTCGGGGACTCCTTTATATCTTTTGGCAAGACTAATCGAAACATGGTTTAGAGGAGTGGCACGAGAAAGCATGCAAGAGCTATTCAGGGATCCATGCAAACAAGCAACACTACACAATTACACTGCGGGGGATTAGGGAGACCTATTATTAATATATATTCATCTCTAAGGGACGGTGTTCACCATAGGAGGCAGATGAGGTGGTTGACCTCACCTAAAGAAAAAAAAAGCTGGGGCTAAATTGAAAGGAAGGGACAGAAAGTCAAAACCAACCTTCACGCTGATCTGTTTGCGGGTGAAGTGATTTGATGGAGGTGAGCAATGGGATGAAAAGATACAAAGTGAAGAGGAAAACAACAAGTGAAACAGACAGATGCTTTTGCAGACACCGTGGAGGTTAGTGGCATGGCACAGACAGGCAGAGTAACGCTTAGATACAGAATCAAGGAGAGAAACTGACTTTCAGTCCTGGCTGTAATCATAAGAAAAATTACCTAAAAAAATCATTTATGGCAAATACTCAGTTTAAGAATTTTAAGAATTGTACAGTCAGATTGATTCGATGTGTAATAATTATCAAGATTAATTAATTATGACCCAATTTTGCCCAACTTCACTTCCTCTGTTCTAATAGTTGCAGAATATTTTCCTGTGCTTAATCTTCCCTCTCGTGTTTCTGAATGCACTATTCTAAAAGTTTCCCTCCTTGACACACAGACATATACACATAAAACAACATGGAAATATTTTGGTATAGAAAAAGCCCAGCTGCAGCACTTTATCCTCCGTGACATATTGACATGTCACATGGATATATGAAAGAGTGCCAGCAGACAGAGGCTGACATCCCTCCTCCGTTGTGGGATAAGCACTTGACAAATGAGTGCTCAAGCACAATCACAGCGCGCTTGTGCCTCAGCCCACATTGATGGAGTCCTCCTTTAGAGGGGGGTCGCCGAGAACGACCCACAGTCGCACACCTACAAACACGGTCAGTCTTAATGGATGAAAAGTGGCAGGACATACAGTTAATAGGCACACAGACAGCGGAAAAGGGAAAACAATCCACGAGCAGACACCCACCCCCCGCCCCCACCTGTGCACCAAACCACATCCTCCCCCCCACCCACACAGAAATATGAGGACATCATTCTCTGGTGGCTCTAAAATGTCAAGACAAGCAGGGTAATGGCGCTGCTCGCAGGCTGTGTGTGTGTGCCTGTAGAAGGGAATTAGATCAGGTGGTGACACTGAGCAGCAAAAAAAACAAAAAAGAAAAACATTTGTGCACAAAAACAACAACACATAACATTTAAATCTGCCAGGCTGCTAAAATTATTACCCAGTTTCTTTAAAGATACTCACTCCATGCGTCACCTTCAAATAAAGCTAAATGCATTGGGTTGTCAAAGACTTCAAATTATTTTCCTGCTCAGGGCAGATGTAATCTTTTCAGGGGCCTGAATTTAAAGCCCCGATTTATTAGTGAATTACAAAAAAGGAAGAACAATTTCAAATAAAAATGGTTAATGAGGCAGTTCATTTTTGTATAATTTTCCCATTTTCACATACCCCATTACATACAGAAATCACAAACATTTTGAACATAATCAAGGATCTCGTAAGAAGTAAACAGTGATCGAACGTCCTCTTTGCTTCCAGAACTGAGTGTAAATATGGGTTCCAGAGCAAGACCACAGCCTTTTAACACCATGATATGTGGTCAGGCATCTAAAAGACAGCTAGTGTTGATTGTCAAGCCTGTAAAACCCCTCTAGCAGACCAGTGATAGACCAGTTCTGGGTCTTGTCTCCTTGCTTCTGCAGCAATAACAAAGACGGAGTGAAAATGTGGCTGGAGCCTTTGTTCTCCGGTCCAGCCAAGTGCACTTTTAAAAGGTTATGGTTGGTTTGATTTCTATCTCTCCTCTGGTGTGGTGAGTCTGGCGGAAAAAAGTTGGTATTAGGGCTGGAGGTTTGACAGCTACCTGGGTGGTGTTGCAGACTAGCAGGGCCCCCAGGCCCTGCTGGCGCCAGGCCACACAACTACTGTAATTACCTCTGAGGGGGAAAAAGCCAGTGTCTGCACCTGTGACAGACATGTCCTGATTAATGGAGGAGACTTACATCCTTTCCTCTCCTTTGCTGTTTGGCTGACAACCTCCTCCTGTCAAGATTTAAGATCTCACACTCTGGAACTCACAGTGTTTAAACTGTAAATGAGGTTTTCACTGTGATCCTCCAGTATGAAATTACCTACGATTCTGGGGGAAATTTTGGGTGATAAAATTAAGATGTGCTTTGTTTACCTTGCCTATGAGGGGAACATAAAAAGTTCTGAATAATAATTTGAGAGGTGAGTTAGTTAGAACAAACTGCAATTAATGGAATTTTATATCTGTTAAACACTGCTTTCCTTTTTGTGACTGCATGAATTGGAAACACTGAGCATTAATTGACTTTTTTTCATTTTGACGAATGGAAAAGACACAATGGGCATCCTTATTATTGAACTAGCTTTTGTGAGGCAATACTGGAAGCTTTCAACAAAATGATGAAAAGATGAGTCTATTTCTCACCATGAGGCTTTTTCTCACTCAATCCACCACCCACACTAACAACTGCTGAGACTATTGTGTTTCATGTACATCAGACATGGTGGTGTTATGCAAACGGGCTAACCTAGACCACTCTGTTCCCTATAGGGCCCTTTTGCTGAAAGAGTACAATCCTGCTCTTGCCCTGCATTAGTCTGTTCACAGGGACACAACAGCAAACAAACCCTGGAAACTCTAGACCCTTCCTCGTCTTTAGAAGGTTTTCGTTGTGCTGGGGGGAATAATGGACCCTTTCGATACAGTCAATATAAAAAAAAGAAAGGAGGCCGGCGTCAATGCCAGCGGAGGAAACGGTTTCAATGCAGCTGTTTTCTCAAGGGCTGCACCTGGCTGAGTTCTTAGCCAAACAGGAGGTTGATGTTAGTTCAGCTCATTGGAATGGAGGGGATAGGATTGTAGGGATAGTGGTGGGAAAAGAGACAGAGAAACACACGAAAATAGGAGAATAACAGTGCAAATATTGGAAATTGCAGTTTTAAAGGGGGCTGCAAATGTGTCTCAGTCGGGATAAGTGTTTCCACTTACCCTGTCTGATCAAAAATGTTTCTGACCTTGAAAGTGAGCAGAGCTATATAGTGAATCCCTCCATTCATCATCAACAAATCACAACAAATTTAACCCCAGTCTGCACATTCCCACGTGACCCCACATACTCTGAATGATAAGCTGGAATCACACCACAACTTAGCGGAGCAGCGCACAAAAGGAGACGCACAAGAAGCCTGCATAGCTTTTTGTGCTTTGCAAAGGCTTGAGACAACAGCAATGACATTTATGATTGATTACCTCAACAAGAGAGAGAGACATTTGGCTTTACCTCTGACATAGAGATTGGCGGGAGAGGAGTAGCGGGTTCCAGCGCTGTTCATGGCAACGCATTCGTATTTCCCCTGGTCGGACTCCTCGCTGTTCTCAATTTGCAGAGCTCCTGCACGGAGGATTAACAAAGTTAGTAGTCTTGACAGATGACAGAAACTAAAGCAGATATCTATTTGGTGACTCACCAGAGAGCCTACAGTCAACCGACCCTCGGTGAACCAAGTTCACGCTGGGGCACGGTAGAGTTTTGTTAAAAATGTTCTTGAAGCGACAGAAATGTCGAGCAAGTCTGGTAAATTTAAGAAAAATACTAATTGAATATTTGCCTAGTCATTTTAAGGATAAATGAAAGAGCATGGTTGAGGGTCAATTTATATTTTAAAAACATGTCAAAACTGTCTAATTCTGATTAGCCCCCCAGCTTATGGAATTGTGTGACAAGCCAATGTGTTTCTGTCACATAGGGTTATCTACCACAGCCAAATGTTTGCATGCTGCCACAAAATGCTGCAGAGGAAGGAATATTAGTAATAAAATAGCAGTTTGAGATACTGCAATTATTTTCAATATATTTCAACCAAAGGAGGTCAATTAAAAAAAAAAAATAATCAAGAAGACTTTCAGCATAATTTAAAGTCGTGTGAATAAGACAGCACACCCTCTGCCAATTAGAAAGTTGTACACATCAAGACATAAAATCAAAAACAACACTGAAAAAGTCTGAAAAACTAAGAGAGCCCATATACAGCTGTTACAGAGTTACAACAGATTTATTTCTGCGCTGATTTATGTTTAAGGTTGAGGTTCGGACTTCATCAATGACAACCCTGATACTAACTGGCTCAAATGCAACTTTGCAAATGTAAGTCAAATTGGGTGTTTTGCAGTTATTCTAAGGATTGCAAAGTCGGGCTTTCTAAACAAAAGCCTTTAAATAGTTTAGAATTGGTCTTGTATCCCTTCTTAGATTAATTGGCAGCAACTATTGCTTATCTAAGACAATGATTATGTCTTTCTTTCTTAAAATGACCTGAATCCCCAGATCTTCAAATTTCTCAAACATTTTTTCTGATGCCTTAGTAATAACCAGGTGCTTTTGATTATCCAATGAAAGCCATTGGCAGCAGTCAGGGTGTACTGAGTTTTCCCACACAGCTTCTCTCTATGGGCTTGGCTTCTGTTAAATTAATGACACTGTTTGTCTGTGGCTGAGTTTAATGTTTTTTTCAAATTCTCTCCTGATACGTAAAACTTCAGAAGTGAACGAGCATTTGTAGCAGTGGATAAATGATGCTCTCAAATATAACAAGCATCCTGAGTCACAGATCTGAGTAGCAGGTAACTGTAACAGATGACTGTAAGTGATGATTTGCTTGATGGCCTGAGATTCGGAGAATGATACCGTCAGTGCAGTCAGCAGCGGGGAAATCATTGACATTGCTTCTCCAAAGGGAGATTCTCCACTGCCAGATGGCCTAGATTAGCGTTCACAATTCCAAGTTGTCGTAAGCAACTGAGAAGAGCCCAACATGTTGTTTGAAACAAATCTAAAAGCTTGAGCCTGTCATGTAATCACCGCTACTGACTTGCAAATGGACAGCAGATGAAGCAAGTCATAATTTGAGACACATAAGAGTGCAATGGAGAACTTACCTGCGGCCCGATTAAAAAGAATTGTTCGAAATAAATTGACATCTCTTAGCAGAATTCATGGAGTGAGTGATAACAGTTAAAACGACTCCCAAAGTCACGAAATATTCAGCAGAAGATGAGATTAAGATATATTTTTTCCCATCATGCAGCATGAGATGAGTGTAACAAACAGGTTCACCACCAACCATAAGGGACCCGAAGCGAGACGAGACCAAAAATAAAGGAAAAAAAACGGGGTAAATCAGGCAGGGCAGCGACACGTGGGAATTAAACTTCAGATCTCATGACAACACAACCCTCCGAGGTGTTTGTTCGCCTTGCTGAGCTCATCGCTGTCTGATTCAGCACCGACATGCTCCTGCATACTAATGTGGATGTCACCAATCTGTCAGTCTGCCAGCGTTCTGACGGGGAAAAAAGTGGGAGTACTACACAAACGTAGAAGGTTACCGCCACATGGCAGTTGTCAGACAGCCATACGAAGCCGCTTCAGTTCCTTCCGACGGCTTGAATAATTTTAGGTCTTGCACTACGTTATATAGTGTTCACCGTTTAAGGGGATCGGGGCTTCACGAGGGGCCGCAAATGCAAACAAAATGTGATGTATTCGGCTCGGCCCAGATGTTCGACATCTACGGTTGTGGAGTGGAAATTGTGTTTTCAGTCAGCGGGGGGGAAAGCGGATGATTTCCATAAAAAGGGCTGAGATTTCCACCTTAATCTTGATGAGATATCCAGGTCCTCTGCTGGGGGGTGGGGGACGGGGGGGCACGCTACATAGGCTATATGCAAATCCAGCCATATCAATATACACCGAGTCGGCGCAAATGAGGCAGGCAGATCCACATGTGACGATGGTGGCCTTTGGGTTTGCCTCCGTGCCTCTTTTGCAGAGCAGTCAGAGGAGTGGCTGAAGCCAAAAGACATTCGGTTTTTCCTCATTAAAGCGGTTTATTTCAAACAGAAAGAATGACCTTAGAAGAGTTTATTTACTAGCCGACGTAGCGGGCTTTTTTTCCAGTCACACGGTATCACGGTTGGTGATAGTTTTGTTTGTTAAGGATCAGACAGCAGACAGAACACGTTGGGAGGAGACGCAGGAGGACGAGGAAAAGGGAGGACAGTCGCCAACAATGTGGATGAACCTGGTGACGTGGCGAGTGAAGAATATAGGGGGTATGTGGGCGTGAGGGAATGGTAAGGACATTATATTTTTCCAATACACTATTCAGCATTCTTACCTCTAATTGGTGTACCACCTAGGTGGGAGAAATTTTGATGACAACAGGGTTGAAAGATTAGTTAGTAATCCACTTGCAACGGGTGGGAGAAAATACATGTCTTCTGACAGGCCATAGATTAAAAAAACAATTAATAGAGAATAGAGGCCACTTTAATGCAATGTGACAAAGTTCAGCGTGCTTAATCAGTGCTGCAGCATAAATAAAGTGTGCATGTATTGTCTGGAATGGTGAAAAACAACATGACCTTTGAAAAGGAACCCTTTTATCTGACAGACACTGGAATAAAATGCTCCTCGTTCTGGTTTTCCTGTAAGCAGCTACATTAACCCTTGCTTCACAGCATAGCAGTAGTATAAAGGTAACTTAATTAAACTTTTTGTTTAATATAGCCTCCACTCTTTGTGCCAATAGTAGTTAGTAAAAATGGGAGAGTATTTAAATCAAAGATGTTAAACTGAACAGAAATGAGCATCTCCGCTGTGTGGACAGAGGATAATGTGAAAGGAGGATAAACGTGCCCATGTGCTCTTGAAAAAGTCAAAAAGTGTGATAGCATAAGAAAGAATTGGATCTGCCTTTTCTATTCGACCCTGGAAACAAATTACTGTGCTTTTTCCTTTTTTCTTTTTTTTTTTTTTACTGCTATTGCAAAATTGGCCTCATTTCAGGTCATATGCAGTAATGCAAATCCTGATACAGCAGCAGATGTCAAGAAAACGGTGGTGGATAAAAAGAAATGTTAGTCTGGGGGCATTACATATCAGCACATTTTCAGGCACACTCAATGTATGTGGGAAAGAAAACTAATTAAAAGTTTGTCGCTCGAAGTAAAAAGGGGATAAAAAAAATCATGTTTCTTTTTTTTGGGGCATATTTTTATTTTCTCACTAAAGACATAATCGAACACTACGGATATGTGTTGGTATCCAATTTGTAAGAATTAGTTTTCTAATTTGTTAAGTGTCTGGTGTTGATCACATTTTGACATTGTAAGAACACGAACAGTCCTAGTTAACACAGTCAAGTGATCTGGCTTCCGCTGGGCAGCTTTCAGTGCCAGCCTTTTTTTCTTTTTTTTTTCATCAAAGCTCTCAGCTTTAATCTTTAGGCCCTCGATTCTCCAGGCCAGGCTGACACTTTTCTAAGCTGCTCCTCTATTATGAGCACCCAAAATAAAAAATCCACCACGTGCGCTCGGGTTCACAACTTTACAAAGTGAGGTCAGCTTTGCTCAGACTGAAAGACCAAACCTGGTCAAGATCCAAAAATCTTTCAATTTAGCGTGCTTCACACCAAATCCAGGTTAGGAAGACACTGCTGAGTAATCAATGGAAGTGCTACTGTGAACAAAGAGTACTTCATTGGTTTGAGGATGAATCCTTACTAAAACATCATCTGATGCCCTCTTTGTGACCCAGCTGCCTGTTTCAGTGGGGATTAGAGATTACCTACTTTGGAGAGGGTGTGTGTGTGAGGGGGGGGGGGGGGGGGGGGGTTGTTCTGTACTTGAGAAGCTTTTAAACAGTTCATGTATCACTGTCAGGAGATTTCTTCAGATACCTTTGTAAGTGGCTCCTGTCAGACACTAGGTCTGTTAGAATCAGGAAGACCTCTGCTCGCTGCAGTGTGTGTGTGTGTGTGTGTGTATTTCAGTGAGTCGTGTGCGGGCGGACCCTTAGAAATCAACCCAGATCTTAAACAAGCCGTACCTGAACGGAGCTGCTTGATGCGCCCGTTGCTGCTGGTGATGTCCACTGGAAGCATGTCCTTGAACCAGGAGATCTCCGGGTCTGGGTTTCCGCTGGCCGCACACAGCATGGTGGCAGTCCTGGTCCTTTCCACCACTTTCAGCTGGGGGCCCATATCAATGGTGGGGAAGCCGTGGGGGATCTGGTTCTCTGAAATGAGCAAAAAGCGGCTCTCAGTCATGCCACAACCGCAAACCGTACGGCGGGACCAACCAGAAAGATTAAATGAAAACACTGAGAGGGTTTTGTATTTTTCCAACAGAATCGTCTTTTTCCACCGCTGTAAGATGAGTTCATCAGATCACATCAGCCGGCAAGGTCAGAGATGAGGATGAAAGAGAGCAAATACATTTCAGGTGCTACAGGCCAAACAGTAATCAGAGAATACACCCACACACACACAAAATTAGTGTGAGAGCAGAAGATACTACTGGGGAATAACCGTTCCGGAGCCCATTTAGATTCGATAGGAAAAAAAGAATCCTGTTAGTAACTGATTATCATAGCAAGCTTATTACCTGGCACAGCAAGTCAGATTTAGAATGGTTGCAATGCACCACTGGGTACTCATGCATGTATGAGCTGCCTTAGGCTTAGAAAAACTAAACAAACCCATTTGAATAATCCAACTCATGATAATAAATGTGACACCATATCCATGACAACAGTGAGTATGATCCTGATAACAGAATTTGAAAATTCTGAAGAAAAAAAGGTTGTCTCGAATAAAGCATGTACCGACTCTTAAGAAGATTACAAAATCATGACTAATCTGATCTTGCTTTCACACCTTCCTCCTTCGGTCAAACTTTTGAACTCCTCAACTTGATCTGAACCAGAAATATGAGTGTTATACACCTACGCCAGTGCTGCCGGTGATGAAGTCATGACATGTGCCGCCAACAAACAAACCGAAAGATGTAGCTGAACAGCTTCTAAAAAAACATAAACCCTGGTCAGACCTTTGGGTCAAAAAATGCCATGAAAAAACATCCACTCAAACCTCCCAATTTCCACTCTTAATAACTTAGCTTTTAAGTCCTCAGAGCAGTAATAAAGAAGAAACATGGCAGTCTATGAGGGCTGTGATTACTCGCTTGCTCTTGAACCGGTAATCTTTTTCATCCGTATCCTCGTATGTAGATAACTCACTGAGGGGCAAAGTGTCAAGATTAAATAAATGCTAATGATGGGAACTTCTGCTTTTGGCTCACTGTGAAAAGATAATGTAGCTACAGGTTCTCTTACAAAAGCGGGGAATGGCCGCCATGGAGGGAAGGAAAGCGAGGGGCAAACCATATTCACCTTGGACAGGTTTCCAATCAGCCACAGAGGAGAAATTCAATGTTCCAAAAGTTATCCCGTTGCGGTTAAGTAAAAATTACTTTGAGTTAGCGGTTAGCCTCAGAAGCTGTGAAATCACCGCCTTCTGATCTGGAACAGTACAGAACTGTGACGGCACATAATTACGTTTGTGTGTAAATACCAAGAGAAAGGGGGTGATTAAAGCTATTATTATCTTCAAAAGTCCTATAAACACCTCAAAGTGTGTCTTAACACGTCCACCAACGCTATCGAACTCTCTACGCCGCTGCCTTTTTCTACTGTCATGAGTTCATAACCCAGGCAAATGTTTCTATTAATTTCTGCTACTTTTAATTGCTTCAAATCAGAGCCCATACCTCCAATGACATTCGTTGGCTTATCTGAGCTAAAAATCCATATGTAAGCCAATATAGCCTGAATATGAAAGAAGTGTTGGTGTTGCTTTTTATTCTTACCCTCAACAGAGCATTTGTTCCTCCCTTTTGTGTTTGGCCTGCGGCCCAGACCGTCTCATATTCAGACGCGGCCGACAGGTCGGTGCATGGCCTCTTATCTTTGTGGCGAGGCTTACTTCCTTTCTAAAGATGCCGAATTAGTTTTCAGACATCCCAAATGATACCTCTACAATACAATCGACTCGTCTGTATAGTTTGTTATCGAAAGAACAGCGGTAACGGCATTGTCGCGCCTTGTGTTCCTCTGTGTTCCCGTGCTCTCGCTTACCTTTTGAAGAGAAAGAGAGGGACAAAGGGAGAGAGAGATAGGGGACAAAGACAAGGGCAGGAGAAAGGAGAGAACGGCCAGATAGGAAAACCACTCGGAAAATGTCGAAGATGCACCTTCTGAAACAGAATTTGAGGGGTAAATCTAAAATGCACAGGCTATTTACGTAAAAAAGACAGCAGACAACACTGAGTTGTGCCTATCGTTAAAGGGAATGAACTCCATTCTGCCCTACTTATAAGTCACCTTGGTTTTTTTCCGTAATGTTTCACCTCTAAGGAATTGTCTCTTTCAGGCTGGACCCAGTTTTCTGAGCACACCCACACGGCGCAGCTGGCTGTGAGAACCTGGTGGTCTGTTCAGGACAGCATGTCGTGATTGATTGTGTAGCGATGCATCGACACAAGTCCTCACGCACTCTGTGCTAAGCAACATACGATAAACACAAACATGATTCACAGTTTTTACCGATCGGGAATAACCTTAATTCAATGTTACAGTTATCAATCGATGTTGTTTTATTCAAGCCCGTCCACTTGCGTCTTCCAGCGTTTATGCGTCTTGCCTTTTGTACATGCAGGACGCAACGGGAACCCGAAATCACTCGAATATCAGAACAAAAGCAGCGTAGCATTTCTTCACAGTGCAGATTCCATCGATCCAATGAGAAACTGCCCTAAAAAGCCAGTCACCCCAGGAAGACTGGGAAGCATGCTATGCTGTATTATTTTAAAGTAAAGTTTGATCCGTAAACACCCATAAATGCTTACTGACACATTTAAGTTTGAACCTAAGAGTTAGCAAAATAAATCCTTTGTCCTATTGCAAAGGAAAAAAAAACCCAACACCATTGTGTTCAGTGGAACTGCGCCCTCACATAAGAAATTGGAATATTAGTATTTCCCCATTCGAGCCTGGTGTAGTACTGCATAGAATATTTATTATTAACATTATTGGCAAAATGCTGGTGGGCTGTGAAAAAATGCTAACCAATGGTAAAACCGGGTGAAAGACCCCAAAGGAGTTATTACACGAGTCAGCGGCTCTGTCATATCAGGAGCCCCAAACAGGGAATAATTCAAGAGCTGCTGCAAAGCTTACACATTAATCTAGCCTTGACTTCTGTTTAATGTTTTGAATTGCAGGTGAACTATTACAAGCGCGTTTTTTTCAGAGCATTTCTGCTGAGCGGAAAGCGAGTGGAAATGCGTGAGGATTGTTAGGTAGGGGACAAGGACGCCCTTTTTCACGGATATGTAAGAGGAACACAAGTGCCAGGCTAAAATGTCGACACCAAGGTTTATCTGTTCTTATGGAGGCATTCGTTAGACCAACAAGATTTTTCTTAAAACTAACTCACAGGATTTATTTATAATGGTGATTTAAATTTCAACCTCTCAGCAGAAGGGGGGGAAATGTACCTCCGACTAACTTTTAAGACGCCTGTTCCAACATGCCTTTGTGCCCTAAAGGGTTCTGACAGACACGAGCGGCCTCTCAGCTCAACACTTTGCTTCAAAAGATTCTAATTCAAGACAGACTCCGTTTGAATTTTGAAACTCACACTTTTTCTATACTATTGAAGAAAAACGGCATGGATCAATAAATATAAATGTTACAAAAAATACTTGGTTAACTTGATTGTTGCGGGTCATGAGCCATCCATAGAGAGACAGGAACTCAGGAGTTCTATAAATGTTTTGCAAAAAGGTTTGATAGATATTTCACATTCCGTTAAAGCCCACGGTGAAAAGTAACACATCCCTTAAGACCACAGTAGAATTCGGCTCCAGAAGAAATCACTCGTGTCCTTGGTTTCCCTGTAAAAGGAATAATTGAGAGCTCTTCCGTTGCATTCACCGAAGATCACGTCAAGTTTCTGGGTAAGATTTGCATGCCTTGTCTGTCTATTTCTCCTATTGCAACTCCTCTCTGGCCTCGTCTGCCAACTTGTCATCCTGAGGAGACAAAGACATGCTTTTGTTCGGAGCTCTTTAAGGCAGAAGAGAGGAGGTGGGTAAAAATTGGAGAGAACCCAGCGTAATGGTGCGGGCTGTGCAGGCTGATGTTTGGACAGATAGAGGGAATACTTAATAAAAGGGTCTAATGTGCTTCGGTGTAATTCACACATACACATGCCTAAAAAGCTCCGCTCATCTTCCTTCTCAAGGCACGGAAAATACAAGTGAGGCTTGAAAAAAAAAAAAAAAAACTATGACAATGTCCAATGGGCACTCCATTACAGAGATGAAAGTTGATGTTGCAACTAAAAAAAGGGAAGAAAATAACAAAAATCCAAATGTTATAAGTTACACTTGTAGAAAGATTAATGCCTTCTACTTCATAGTCCAACTATTACCCGAGCAATTTGTTCACTTTCCATGCAGAACTATAAAATTCTGCAATCAGACGCAAGCCTTCATTTGGCCCACAAATCTATAGTGTTCTAAATGTCTTCAGCTGCGAACACCAGTGGCTTTTAAACCACTGCTATCTAATGAAACACCCTGGATGTGCAAATGAGAAAGGCTGGAGGCAGAATGGCATCGGCTAGGTGCGCATAAACTGGTTCTTCCATGTTGTGGAAAAATAAATAGGACCATTGTTCTCCCAGCAGCCGTTTATCACGCAGAGTCATTCTGCAATACGAGCAGCTTAGCAGATGAACTTCGAGTTTACATTGGTTAGGAAAAAAGAAGAGCGCAAGGGGGTTGGGCTGAATGTGGTCTCGTTGTTGCACTACTCAATTAGGATAGCAGTGGGGGCCATGATTACACACAAAAGACATGGGGAAACACCGGCAATACAATTTCTAAAGAAGAGATTTCTGCAGAGATGCAATTATCACTCAACTTTAGAGAACGAGTAACCAAAAAGAGTAATCAAAACTACTTTTGTCAAGTGGGTGAGTCTCTGCGACAGGTTAAGCAAGATTCAGATAAGAGAGGGGAGTAAAAAAACGAGTAAAATACAGAGGGGAAGGCAGTGGAAGAGGAGGGGGCAGGGGAGGGGTGCATGCCAACCTCCTGCCAGCTCCAATTACCAGTGTGAGTGGAGCGTGGCAGCTAGGGCGATGGGTCTAATCAGAGCCCTGCAGAAAG